ATGAAACTGCCAGAGTCAACATGGCCCAACAAAAGCTACGGTGAAGTATGCATTACTAGGTGACTGTTTCTCAAGCTCAGTGAGTGGAAATGCTTCATTCCAGGGGCCCACACCCTGATAACAGGCAGAACCCATATCCCATTAGCTCTCAACAGATTCAGGGAAAAGGATTGAGGCTGAAACATCACCTTCAACATCAGGACCTGCATGAAATTTCTGTAAACCACCTCCAGAGGTCATCATGTCATTAGCCTGAAGGGGCAGTGCTTCTAGGGACACCTGCAGCTAAAGAGGAGGTGTGGTCTCAAAGGGGTGACCTCCATGTGCTCTGGAGCTAGCTACTGTGATCTTAACCAGCCCTGAGACTGTGTCCATGGGGATTCAGAAGCTAAGCACAAAAAGATCTGGTTATAAGGCATCCCAGAGTGGGGACCCTGGGGATAATCACTTTAGATTGTACCCACATCTTCATTCCTGCAAGAGTGGATCCCATCTTAGATCTTCTCCACCCACTCTTGGGACTCAGGTCCTAGCAGCCAGTTACACGCAGTTTCAGTGCCCAGGGAAAGGCCTGGATAGCAAGAGAAGCCACCTGACGGCTCCTTTCAAACACTGGCAAAAAAAACAAGGCCCCATGAGATGAAAAACAGGGCAAGACGATATCATTTTTAAAAGAAGCGCTTTTATTTTAGCTGGCCCAGCGACACAGTGCAGATGGAATTTGCAAAGCTGTGCAACTGAGTTAGAATTTTGACTGGTTTTTATAGTTCATTTATGATTAGCTCATTGATCGTTAAGTACATAGTGATGAGAAACAGAAAAGAGGTGGGCCTTTGTTCCCCTTTGCTTGAGGTCAGAGGCATTTCACAGTGGGTGGTTAGCCAATTCATAGCCCTTGGTCTGCCAATTCCAGGAACATCTGTGTCTCATAAAGGGAACAATGGTTGACACAGCGTCATTTGTCTCTTACAAGGAGAACAAAGGTTGACACAGCAAACAGGTTACTGGGGTGGGGGGAACAACACATACAGAACAGCATGATGACTCGGTCAGTTAATTTATAACTAATTTATAACAACGTGATAGGTGCTCTAGGTACATGGTTACTAGGGCGATAAGCATAAAGCATGACAGAGAACCCCCTCAAGGTCTGCCTCTGGTTCCTCAGTCCCTCAGCACACTGCTCAGTGAGTCCTACAGCAGGAACAGGAATGGCAGGCACTTGATTCTCCTGGCCTCCTACTCAGCTGCTGCGGCCCCGCCACATCTGAGAACTCTGCTTCTTGGCCAAGGCCAAGTTGGAACAGACATGGAATGATGCAGGAGTCAGAGACCCAACAGAGAAGAAAAAGTACAGCAAGTGTGTGGTGAGGGCTCTGTTCACACAGAAACAGCTGCCTGGAGCTGTCACTCTCCAAACAAGTTCCACTACATAAGCATCCATCACTTCTACCTGTATATCATTTTTTAAAAATCATTTTTTCAGGATCTAATTGGGTTTCTCCAAAAGGTGTCCCCTGGCTGCTCTGAGATAACTGTTCCAAATGATCCTTTACTCCCTTAATACAGTATTAAATGTTCGCTTTTATTCTTTTTTTGTGCATGAAACAACCTGAAGGTTGTCCAAGGTGATACAGGATGGAGATGGAGCGAAGCCACTGACACGGGGTGCTAAGGATGTCTCACTCCAGCGGAAATCCTGGGGCGCTCCACGGCATGGGCTCAGCAGAAGAGTGGGAATGAAGAACCAAAGGGTTGGCCCTGATTCCTCACTTGACAGACTATGTGTCCTTAAGTTCTTTAAGCTCTCTGAGCCATTTCCATATCTGAGAAATGGATCCTATCTCACTCCTGGATTTGAGAGAAGAATAAATGGAATGGTATTTGGAGAGGAAACTGAGGCTCTAAGGGTAAGAAGCCTGCCGCAACCACCTAGTTGGGTGACCTGGATCAACAGGAAGGAAAGGAGGACACCCAAGAAGACAGGAGATTAGAAGGGGACACAGAACTTGGCCTGTGTGAAGAGTTCAAAGCGCTCTGTCCCCAGAGCTCACAGGACTCATAACCAGGCCACAAGGGACCCAGGCCACCAGCTTTGTAGCTGACATCAGGGCCTCACAGTCCTGCTTCAGCGGGGCCTTTGGGGCTAGACTGGCCTGGTCTCATCGCTGCAGCACTCGCTAGCTCAGGGAATCATCCATAAAGTGTTATCACACCAGGGGTGGTGGTACACACCTGTCATCTCAGCAGCATGGGAGAATGAACCAGGAGGACCACAAGCTGAAGTACCACTTGGGCAAGTTAACCGGAACTTCCTTCAAAATAAAAAATTTTTAAAAGGGCAAAGGTTGTCACTTAGTACAGTGACTCTAGTTTCAACCCAATCACAAAAAAAGGACCCCTTTATAACAACTACCTTGTCTTAGTTACTTTTCCATCATTGCCAAGACAAAATACCCAACACCCAAAGTTAAAGGAGGAAAGGTTTATTTAGCTTACAGCTTATGGAAGTTTCAGATCCTAATCAGCTGGCTCCAAGACAGGGTGGCTTGGAACAGGCGCAACACGTTCAAGTGGCAGAAGACAGTAAAGCAACAAGGGCAAAACAAAGGGGAGAACAAGACTCTTTTCTCTTATATTGTAAAAAGGCCACCGCCACCCCTATGATGGGTACAGCACTCCTACGATCTCTGTGCCCGCCTCCTGCACAGGACAAGGATGTTTAGAAAGTGAGGAACCTTGGGCTGGGGATTTAGCTCAGCAGCATAAGTGCCCGCCTTGCAAGCAGGCAGTCATGAGTTCAATCCCTGGTGCCAATAAAAAAAAAAAAAAAAAAGAAAGTGAGGAACCTGGTCCCCTGCTGAGTTGCTTTATCAGGTGCAAAACAGCTCTTTATATAATTTGTATAAAATACATACCAATAGAGTCCTATGCACAAGTCAACCCAACAAATCCCCACAAGCTGAAAATAGTGTTGCTGGCATCCCAAGGCACTACCCACTCTATGCAGGTTGACCTTGCTTCTGCACTACTGACAAACAGAACTCTAGAGTGGTTACTCTGTCCTGCCTGGCTGCTTTCACTCACCACTACAGTTGCAAGATTGTCTCTGTTGTTGCTGGTTCCTGGTTCTGTGTACTGATCCACTGTGTGATGGCCTCACGTTATGTTCTGCTTTTTACAGGCAACACAAGCCTTCTGGATCCCATCCTCCTACACCCACTCAGTGTTAGTATGGGCAGGACAGGCTATAGACAGACTAGTGTCCCCCTTATGATGAGCTTGTGGTGTCTTCAGACTGCTGCCCCTTCCTCAAGAAGGCTGCCTCTTGAGATGCATGCCACAAAGGCCAAGTCACTTACAAACTCTCAGTGTAAACCACTCTGGGCTGAATGACCTTCTGGCATCCTGAGTACATACAGCAGCTCCACCAGGTCTGCAAACAGGTCTAGGATATGTGCAAGATGTCAAGGCAGTCAGCCGGGCGTGGTGGCTCACGCCTGTAATCCCAGCACTCGGGAGGCTGAGGCAGGAGACCAGCCTAGGCTACAAAGTGAGCTCAAGGCCAGCCTGAACTGCACAGTGAGACCCTGTCTCAAAAAGACAAAAAAAAAAAAAAGATGTCAAAGCAGTCAACTGGAGGCCATCCTGAGGAAAAGGGCTGCAGTCTGCAATGTTCACCTGCTGCTCTGGAGCTGGATGGGAAAGCTGGTAAGGAGAGACAAGAGGAAGATGTCAACAAGGCCAAGGGAGTCCATGGAAGGGGGCCTGATTCCATCTTGGGCCCCAGAGCTGCCCATGCAGCAGCTGCCTTGCCCATAACCCTTCCATTGGCCTTGGGAATTATCCTTAGGTTAAACAACAGTATAACCATCAAGAAATAAGGCAGGTGGGGGCTGGGGATTTAGCTCAGTGGCCTAAGCACCTGCCTGGCAAGTGTAAAGTTTTAAGTTCTATCCCCAGTAAGAAAAAAAAAAAAAAAGAAATAAGCCAGGGCCTGGGGATTTAGCTCAGCAACATAAGCGTTTGCCTGGCATACGTGAGGTTGCAAGTTCAAGCCCAGTACCTCTCCCAAAAAGAAAAAGAAATAAGCATATGCCTGCAATCCCAGTATCCTGGGAGAATGAGGCAGGAGGATTGCAAGTTCAAGCCTATTCAGACTGTCTCAAAATATAAAAAAACATTAATGGCTAGATATTTAGCTTAATGTGAAGGCTAGGAATGTAGCTCAGTGCAAATCCCAAATATGAAAGAAGAGACAGCAAGCAAGCAAGCAAGCAAGCAAGAATCCTCCCATGGCCAAAATGACAAAGGATAAGAAAAGACAGGTCACAAAAAAGGAATCACAGTAGCTCTAACAGGAGGAAAGGTGTGTGTTTTCACAGAAAAATGAGTTTAAGGTATTAAGGTTTTATTTGTCATGTGTAAGTGGATAATATTTGGCATTACTACTATGAAGGAACCAGTGGTCTTTTATCTTACTGGTATAAGCATAAATTAGCACAACCCCCTTGGAGGAAATTTTGGAAATATCAAAACTGTGAACGCACATACACTGTGGTCCAATTAGTTACTTTTAGGAACTAATTTTACTTGAATATGGATGAAATTATATTTCAATTATAACTTAAGATGAACTTAAGCTTATAATTTAAGATGAACTTACAATACAAAATACACTAAGGGGGAAAATAAACAAGATTCACTTTTCTTAGAATGGATAGCTCTAAAAAGAATTGCAGAAATTTGTAACTTCTGTGGGAAACTGAACAGCTGGTCAGGAATGGGACGGTATCTTACGGGTGTTGGGTGTTCACTGTATTACAGTTCAAAAACAAGCAGTAGGGCTGGCGGTATGGCTCTGTGGTAGCCCGCTTGGCCTGGTATCAAAAAAACAAAACATAAACAAATAAAAAATGTCTTTAAAACGGGCACTTTCGAGATGTTTATATTTTAGGACTATGAAAGTATATGGATCTGTTTGACAGCAATTCAAAATTTACATCCACATGTGTGCACTTAAAGTAAAACCATTTTACAATGGAAAAACAACCAAGAAATACTCAGGGAGCCCCCAGGGGTGGAAGCGTTGCACCCAACAGGTTCACTAAGCCCCACCCTCACCCCGTGAGGTTCTTCAGCCTGGCACCAGGTCCAGCACGGTTGCCCTGTCCACGGCCTTTGTCCGCAGCTGCAGCGTCTCTTCTTTCCCAGGTCGCCTTTGTTCCATTGTTGGCCAAGGAGGTCAGGACCCGCCGCCTCCTGCATTATTGATGCTCGCGCCTGACGGAGGGAGCCCAGCGTCAGTTGAGTCCGCAGCCCTGCCAGAGCGGAGCCGGAGTGCGCAGCCCGAGCCGAGGGCAGTCAGCTCCCCCGGAAGGGACGAGCACAGAAGCATCAGGGGGCCGCGTTCATTGGGTCAGTCATGGGTGGAAGCAAGGGCAAAGCGCCCCGACGCCGGGCGAGACCACAGAAGCCGAGCTCAGCCGAACAGGAATCCGAGTCCGGGGACCCCGGGCCCGGCCCGCAAAAAGCCCGCCAAGAGACATTGGTCACGAAGCCTGACAGCGAGGAGGACAAACGGACTACTGGTGGCAGCAACAAGCCCATCGCCAAGGGTACCCGAAGCTGCAGGTCTGGAGGTGGGTCGCCACCACACGCCCAGAAGAGGCGAGATAGCACGTGGTGTCAGGGACCCCCGCCCACGCAGGGCTGCGCGCCCGGGAACAGACTTGGGGCGCGCCCCGGGGACGAGGTGTCGGGGTCGGAGAAGGCGGAAGGGGCGCAGAGCCTCCACGGGGGGAAAGGACGGACGAGTCAGCGCTGCCACCGCAAGAGAGGACAGGGCCGCAGAGCGCCGGCTCCGAGGGGTCGCAGCGGGGACTCCTCCGGCGCGGACGGGGGCAGCTCGTGCCCGGACAGCGAAGCCCGCGAGGCGTCGGAGCCAGTGGACACGGGCTCGGAAGGGACCGCGATCGGGCCAGAGCCGGCCCTGGAGCCTGGTGAGCGCCAGAGCAACGACAAAGCCCGCCCCGGGGCGTCGGGACCTGGGGCCGAGGGGCCGAGCGAGGAGTCGGGCTCGGGGGCGCACCGGGGCCTGGACGCCGCCGAGCGCAGCGCCAGCCCGGTTCCCTGCTCCCGCGAGGCGGCGCCGAGCGGGAACGACGCGGACTCCCCCGCCCTAGACGACTCGGGGTCGCAGCCAAGAGCTGCGGCTGAAAAGGCGGGAGCCTCGACTGCTGAGGCACAGCGCCGCCCCGTCGGAAAGGAGGTGGGGAAGGCGCAGGCGGCGGCTGAGGGCCAGGCGGGGGCCGGAGCGGGAGCAGTGCCGGGGGACCTCGCGGTGCTCCGCAGGGCCCGCGCGGAGCCCGCAGCAGGCTCCTCTCCCCGGGCAGTGGATCCCAGGGGCGCGGGCCTCAAGGCGCGGTTCCTCCGAGCAGTGCAAGCCCTGGGGCTCCTGCGGTGGCTGAGGCGGCGGCTGCGGCCGCCTGCGGGCGAGGGGCGGGGCGGCGGGAGGGAGGGCGAGGGGCGGGGCGGCGGGAGGGAGGGCGAGGGGCGGGGCGGCGGGAGGGAGGGCGAGGGGCGGGGCGGCGGGAGGGAGGGCGAGGGGCGGGGCCGCGGGAGGGAGGGCGAGGGGCGGGGCCGCGGGTTCCGGCTGGGGCGCCGGCTGGTTTTGCGCCTGGCAGGTTTAGCCGGGTTCGGGGCACCGCCTAGGGCGCCCTCTGGCGGCGACTTGAGCCCTTCGCAGTCCCGGAGCAGCCCCGGCCCGGACGAATCTGGTGACCTCGAAGACCCGACTCGCGATCCCAAGTTCGCGGTGGTGTTTCCCAGGATCCACAGGGCAGGGAGGGCGTCGAGCATCCGGAGCTCAGAAGAAGCGTCCTCGGACGCCCCCAGCGCGGAGGGCTGCGTGTGGCCTCGTGCAGGGGTTGGAGGAGACACTGAGGGCCGCAGGATGAGTGGGCAGGGCATCCTCGGGTCCTGCCGCGCCTCTTTGGTCTCCTCGACTCCACCCGACGAAGCTCTGCTAGAGAAAGGCTTCAGCACCGAAGCAGAGCCGGAGATCTCGGAGGCCGCGACCCACAGGCACTGGGCACTGGGTTCGGGGCTCTCCGAGGACCCTGGGCCGGCCTCCGACGTGCTGCTACCCCGACTCGCCCTGGAGACCCGCCTGCAGCGCGAGAGGAGCTCCTGCGGGCCTCCCCGCGGGAAGTGGGAGCCGGAGGACGAGGCCGAGGCAGCGCTGGAGAAGGAGTTGGAGCGCAGCCTTGGGCCTGACCTGGTATCGCAGTCCTTCCCGGGTGTGGGTGCAGAGGACAGGAGCCTCGGAGAGGATCTAGAAGACACTGAGGACCTGACCCAGCTGCGGTGAGCGGGCGCGATTCTTCACGTGCTCCCCCACCCTCATCTTTATAAATGTATAGATGCTCTGTGATCCTTGAAAGATTTCTGCCCCACAAAAGCTCTTTTGGCTGAACGGGCAGGTGAGGAGTGGAAAGTCAGGTATCTCTCAGGGGACATCTTTTCTACCTGGCAAAACGTTCCCTGGATGCGGGCCTGGTGCTGCTTTGGAGTTCCAAGGTTACCAAAAACTCCCCTGGAGGGGGAGGAAGTACAGGTAGATACTGGAGATAAAGTCAGGGCTAAGCTACATTAACAGCCTTTATATTTTGTATTTTTGAGACAGGGTCTTGCTAAGTCACTGGTTGCTCAGGCTGAGTGCAAACTTGCCTGCCTCCCAGAGCCCTAGGATTATAGGCATGAGCCCTGTGACATGGGTGCCTCTCCTCAGGGGCCCTGCATCCAGGGGCAGAGCTAGCCCAGGACTGCCTTCATGCACTGTGCACCCGCACCCTTCCTGTCCCCACAGGCTGGTGTGTGACAGCTCCGTGCTGTTGTGCCTCAAGAAGAGGTTTCAGCTCGGCCGCATCTACGTATGGGGGCTCCAGGGAGGAATAGTGGGCTGGGATTCCCTCCCCCCGGGGACAGAGTCTCCCCAGCACACCTGAGGCCTGTCAGTCCCTGGGCTGTGTGATGAGCCCTCTGCCTGGGGTCCTACAGAGCCCAGTCAGGGCTGGGGGGAGGGAAGGACGGAAGCTGCCCCTTTTGCATTCCTCTGCTCCCTCCGTGCTCTGATGGCAGTATCTGCTTTCTTTCCCAGACTTTTGGGGGGGCCCTCCTGCTTGCATTGAACCCCTACCAGCCCCTGCCTCTCTTCTCACCTGAGGTGTTGGCCAGCTACCACCCAGGGAAGACCCCCAACACCACCCCGTAGGTGATTTTGCCCCTCTGACCCTGTGCTTACCTCTAGGTGGCCAGGCCCCAGCACATCCAGTGACTGAGTCCCAGGCCTATAGGTACATCCGACCTATACCTGGGACACTCCCCAGATACCTGTCTTTCTCCTCCTCCAGACACATCTTTGCCATCGTGGCAGCAGCCCACAGCCTGTCTCAGAGCCCAGGCCAGCACCCCTGCATCCTCCTGGGGTGAGTCCTACTGTCCTGCCTGGCTGGGCCCAACGGACTGAAGGCCTGCACTGTGGGCGGCAGCTCTGGACTTTATCAGGGCCATGCTTGCGGTCGTCACACATCACCCTTGAGTGGCATTTCTGTTTGGTCTCCATGTGTTGACTTTCTCCTTCCACACCTCTAGGGATCTCCCCTGGGGTAGGTGTCTCTTCTAGGTGGCACAGCCTCAGTTCCCAGGCTCAGCAGGACAGTGCCTTGTGCCCTCCCTGGAAACCTTCCCGAGGCCTTCACACAGCCTTAGCTCTTCCCTCCTGCAGGGGACGCAGTGGTTCAGGGAAGACAGAAGCTAGCAAGAAGATCCTGCAGTTCCTAAGCAGCCTGGAGCAGGGACAGACTGGGGAAAGAAGGTGCCAGGTGAGGCTAGGGTGGAGGCTGTTTCCCAGGGGGCAGCTGGCCACTTTCCAGAGGTAGGCCATTCTTCCTTTAGGCCAGGAGGGTAGTGGGTTGAAGCCTCTGACTTCTGGCTGTAGCATTAGGCACAAGCCTGGCCTGCCCTGGGGGCGGGGGTGAGGGCCCCCAGCCCTCAGTGGACAGTGGGTACCATTGTCCCAGGGATTCCTGATTAACCCTCCCCTCACACAGCTGAGTGATCTGCTGCCAGTACTCAGTAGCTTTGGCCATGCCAAGACCATCCTCAATGCCAATGCCAGCCGTTTTGGCCAGGTCTTTTGCCTCTATCTGCAGCAGTGAGTGATGGGGTCCTGTTGGGCATGGTGGTACTGGGAATGCAGTACCCTTTCTGGGAGAGGCCCCTTGCTGTATGCCCCAGGAACCCAGATCTGCCCCTGTGTCCACAGTGGGCTCATCATGGGAGCCTCTGTGTCACATTATCTGCTCGAGACTTCCAGAGTGGTGTTTCAGGTAAGGGTCACCTTCCTGTCTACCCCATCACAGCCCTCAGAGTGGGAAAGAAGGGGACTGGGACAGCAGGCACTGCTCCTCTAATCCAGCCGTGCTCCCCAAGGCCCAGGCTGAACGGAGCTTCCATGTGTTTTATGAGCTGCTGGCGGGATTGGACGCCATGGAGAGGAAGCAGCTCTCACTTCAGGGACCAGAAGCCTACTACTACCTCAACCAGGTGGGGTAGTGCACAGAGGGAGCTGTCCAGACGGGAGTGTCTCCATCGGCGGCCCTGAGAGGAGCCAGATGGAGGGTGCTGAGGGAGGACCAGGCCCTACCCCTCGGCCCTACTGTGCCCTGCAGGGCCGGGCTTGCAGGCTCCAGGGTAAGGACGACGCCCAGGACTTCGCAAGGCTACTGAGCGCCCTGCAGGTTCTGGGCTTGAGTCCCGAAGAGTTGACCACAGTCTGGGCCTTGCTGGCCAGTGTTCTGCAGCTGGGCAACATCTGCTTCTCTTCTTCAGAGGTGGGCTTTCCCTACGGGCTGGGCCACCCCAGAAAGCAGACAGATCCCCATTGTTCCCACGAGAAGGTAGCCTTGGTGCTTCTGTATCTTCCCAATACCTCTTCCACCCAGAAGAAGAGCACCTGGCATTAACTGAGCAGCTATTATGTATGTTTTCTAACTTAGTTCTTGATAATCCATGTTACTCTTTCCCCTTTAGCAGTAAGGCATTGGGGGCTCAGGAAGGGAAATGGACTCACACTGCTGCCTGGCTAGTAAGGAGAGAAAGTCAGGACTCACATCAAGGCCCTCAGAGCCAAAGGCTGTCTCATGATGACCCAGATCTCCCATATGCTGTTGTGGTCCGTTTGGGTCCCAGGGCAGCTGACTCCCTGTCTCTTGCTCCATGCAGCAGGAGTCCCAGGAGGTGGCTACAGTGTCCAGCTGGGCCGAGATCCACACATCAGCCTGGCTGCTGCGGGTGCCACCAGAGCACCTAGAAGGGGCTGTCACCCGGAGGGTCGTGGTGAGCCCAAGGGTCCTGGGGAGGTGGGAACAATCTGGCCACCAGGGGGCGCACCTGCCCAGGTCTGACAGGCATCTCCTCTGGCCTCCAGGAGACACCCTATGGCCGGGTCTCAAGACCCCTGCCCGTGGAAAGTGCCACTGATGCCAGGTGGCCCTGGGGATGGGAGAGTGGGGCCAGGCCAGTGCCCTGCTCTGCGAGGCTGACTCCCAGTGCCTGCAGGGATGCTCTGGCCAAGGCCCTGTACTCGAGGCTCTTCAGCTGGCTCCTCAGGAGGATCAACACACGACTGGCACTACCTGGAGAGGGAGGCAGCAAGGGCACCATCACTGTGGTGGATGCCTATGGCTTTGAGGTCTGTCCTCAGGGAGGGACCCAGGATGGGGGAGCCCACTTCATTGTGATGCGTTTCTGGAGGGCACCAGCTCCTCCTGAGCTGCCTGCCTGTCAGGCCGTGTCCCTTTTCCTGGCTCTTTCTTCTATAACTACCGGGCAGCTGAGGGGGCAGCAGCACCAGGATGGAGGGTGGGGGTCTGGGGATGGGGAGGTAAGGGAACAGGCCCCTCCTCTGAGGACTCAGGTGATGCTGGCAGGTAACCACGGGGCTCTTGCTTCACTCACCTCCTGAGCAAGCCAGTGCATGACTGAGGATGTCCTGCCACATGCCTGTGCGCATTTCCAAGCAGGGCCTCTGCTTGCTTCCCCTCTGCGTGTCCTTAACCTGGCTGAGGCCAGCATTGCCGTCTGGAAGTAAGGATCAGGGAGGAGGAAGGTCCCTGAGAGCTGTCTGCCCCATAGGTGCAGCCTTTCTGCCCTGCCCCAACACTTGCTCTGGAGAGTTCTGTTTCACTTGGCCTTGAGAGACCCACGGAGGCCCCAGGATGGGCCACACACAGCCTCACCTCCCACTCGCCAAAGGAGAGGGAAGAGGGGAGTTCCCAACCCTCCCTGAGTTCCCACAGCCCCTGCATCCCTTATCAAAGGGTTCCTCTCTTTGGGCCAAGGGGTGGCCCCCTTCAGCCCTGAATGCGCAGTGTTCACTGCCCCCATCTGTGTCCTCGGTGGCCTTGGTCCTTGGTGTGTGTCTCTGGAGGCCATCACTTTCCTGGGAGGGAGTGACTGTGCCGTGTGTGCAGTGAGCAGAGGAAGTGGGCACGGGGGAAGTGAGGCTGCACACGTGGCCCGAGCCCTTCATTGGCTCCCCAGGGGCTGCCCCATCCTTCTCTCCAGGGCTCAGAGAGGAGGGGTGCCCAGGGCTGATGCTGCAGCAGCAAGGGTCAAGCCCGAAGGTCCTGGCGCAGAGCAGGGCCGTGCATGGCCAGCCTTCTGCTGGCTGCACACAGCTCTGTTCCCTGCTCCAGTGTACTGTGAGCCTTCATGTGCTGGCCTCAGCCGCTGCCGCAGGCTCTGGTATGTCCTTTGTCAATTCCTTTGCCTGCTGACTGTCAGAATCGCACGTCCTCATAAGCAGAGCCCTGGATGTGGCCTCCAGGAAGCCTTTCTGGGCCTTTTCCAAGGGTCTGTGTATCTTCCTCTGTGGCCTCAGCACATGGCTATAGGCCAGCTAGGTGCCTCCTGCGTGTGGCTGCACACCCCAAACACACACACAATTGCACACACAGCACAGTCATGCTCTCTCAGGAAAGTGATGGCCTCCAAGGACAAGGCCACCTACCCTGTACCCACCTCCTGCCCACTGCCCCAGGCGCTGCGGGTGAACAGTCTAGAACAGCTGTGCAACAACCTGGCCAGCGAGCGCCTGCGGCTCTTCTCCAGCCAGACACTGCAGGCCCAGGAGGAGGTAGGGAGCCACCTCCGTAGAGAGAGTGGTGCCACAAGAGCTTAACCCCACAGCTCCTCTTCTTTGGGGAGACTCAGTTCTGGGCCTTGGTTTACTAATCTGTAAAGCAGGAGCTCACACTGTGTTCCAATTCAGTGAGTCCCTCTAGAATACGAACTGTAAATGCCTAAATCCCAGCACTCTGGGAGGCTGAGGCAGGAGAATTGCAAGTTCAAACCCAACCTGGGCAACTTAGTTTGAGACCCTGTGTCAAAGTAAAAAAATAAAAATAAAAAAGGGCTGGGGATGGAGTTCAGTGATTCAGTCTCCAGTGTCAAAGGGAAAAGGAGAGAAAAGGCCAGACATGGGCTGTTCCAGGAGGAGTGTCGGCGGGAGCTGCTGCCCTGGGTGCCCATCCCTCAGCCTCCGTGGGAGTCTTGCCTGGACCTCCTGGTGGACCAGCCCCACAGCCTCCTGAGTATCCTGAATGCCCAGACATGGCTGTCTCAGGTGAGGGTGGCATGTGACCCCAGTGTTAGGGATAAGAAGTGGGGGCCAGCAGAGCAGCCTGGGTGATGGTGAGGCTGAGTGTGGAAGACCCCACCTGGGCACAGCCTGGGAAGGACACCCAAGGGGAGGCCCTGGCTCTTACCTCATCTCTGGGGAAGCTCAAGCAAGATCCTAAGCCTCTGGGGATCAAGTTCTTGCCACAGAAGGGGTCAGAAGTGCCCAGTGAGCAATTCCTGGGCAGGGCTCACAAAGGACTTCTGTGGATCCTCTCTGATGGTGGCCAGGTGTCACTCAGGCTCCAACTGTAGGGCACTAATTTCGTGGACATGTGCATGCGTTCCATGAATAGTTTTTACCTACCTTCTGCCCTCTCTACCCAAATATTCCCCCTTATGCTTTAGCCTTGTTCTTTACATTTTAACACAGCCAGTGTGATTGTAGAGCAGATTTATTCATTTACTCTTTCCTCTGCACTGGACTAAGTTCTGTGTGGGCTGGGGACCTTGTACGAGGCTTCCAGCTCTACCCCAGCACATGTTTAGGGTTCCCTAAAAAAGGAAGGTAGAGGACCATACTAGGGATAAAAGACTATCATAGACCCAGTCTCCTGTCTTGAAGCCCGCAGTATAGCAAGAAAGAAATGTTTAGGACGGAAAACCATATAACTGAGCTTTTGTTGGATCATTGAACGGAACTGTCTCCAATTCCACTGTATGAATGTTCACTTTATATGCTTTAATTTAGTGATATGGACAACTGTTTCTGGGAAGATAATGTGTAGCCTGTTAACTGGTGATTTCGTACTGTATTTATTTTTTTTCCTAGAAATACTGTATTATTTGTACCCTTTTACTGCATTGTTTTTTTTGTCCTTTCTTTTTTTTTTCTCTCTCTAAATAAAAATAAAAACCATGCCTGAAGAAAAAAAAAGAAATGTTAATTTTTTTTTTTATCGGTACTGGGGATCGAACTCACAACCGCCTGCTTGCAAGGCAGGTGTTTATGCCACTGAGCTAAACCCCTAGCCCCAAGAAATGTTAAGTTTTTTAAATGCCCAGGAATGAGCCAGGATTTAGCTCAGCAGCATAAGCACACCTGCCTGATGAGTATGTGAAGTCATCAATCCCCGGTACCAAAAAAAAAAAAAAGAAAGAAAAGAAAAGAAATGCCCAGGAATGGAGGTATATACCTCTAATTCCAGTATTCAGGAGGCTGAGGCAAGAGAATTTCAAGTTTGAGGCCACCCTAGGCTAAATAGTGAGATTGTTTTCACAGAGAGAGACAACACCAGGTACAGTGTCACACAACTGTAATCCCGGCTCTCTGTGGGGACTGAAGCCAAAGGATCACAAGTTCAACCCCAGCCTGGAAAATTTAGGGACTTAGCAAGACCCTCTCTCAAAATAAAAAGCTCAAAATCCAGTGAGCTGGGGATGTAGCTCAGTACGAAAGCCCTGAGTTTTTATTAACACCTATTTGAAATTCCTGATTAGATATAGCAGTACATCAACTTGTAAATAATTGTTGTTCCTAGTTCACATTCCAAAAAGTTTTATTAAAGCCTGTCGAAGGTGTCCTTGAGGACCAGGGCTATTTTTGGAAAAACCTAGCAGATTTTTCCTGGGCTTGGCACTGTCCTTAAGTGTGGATTGAAATGCAGCACCATGTGCATGGGAGGTAGTGCTGGCTCTAGAGTTATCCCCCAAGCCACTGTTGTCACTTGCATGGCATTAGGCGTGCTCCCCCACACACACACACCACCTTTGCTGGCTGGGCCTTGTTGCTCATTAGCCCTGTGAGGTGACCTCTACTGAGGTGACATTTTGAACGTGACCTGTGACCTGGAGATGTCCTCCATGGTAAAGCACTTGCCCACCGTGTGTGAGACAGTTCCGTGCCCAGCACCACAAAACAAAAAGAATGAAAGTGCAGAGTCTTGGAATTGTGGGATCATACTCCTAGGTGTGACAGATCCCTCTGTCTTAAAGCCCCCGTCGCCATTTTCTTTAAATGGCTCAGTCATGTGCCTTCCACAGCCACCAAATTTTAGTGTTGACTGAGATGGTTCTGGGGCCTGAGACCACCATGGCTTTCTCAGGTAGTATTCAATTGCTCAAAGTGAAGTCATTGAGAAAAAGAGAACAAACCCTTTATAGGGGCTCAAATACAGAGCGAGCTTCCTGCCTGAGAGAGAACTTGAGGGAAGGGGACCCCACAGCCCTCTGCTCAGGCCGTGCCACATGGGGTCAGGAGGGTGTGCAGTCCAGGCGGGGGCAGCACTGCAAAGCCTGAGGGAGGCTTGACTCTTCCCCTTACCAGGCCACGGACCACACGTTTCTCCAGAAGTGTCACTATCACCACAGTGACCACCCAAGCTACGCCAAGCCCCAGCTACCCCTGCCTGTCTTCACTGTGCGACACTATGCTGGGACTGTCACCTACCAGGTACCCGGCCTCAGGGATGGACTCCAGGTGAATCAGTGAGTCAGTGTAAGAGCTCGGCGTCCCCTCCCAAACTGAGTCACCAGGAGGGGGGAGGAGGGGATGACGGGGAGCCCTTTCGGAGGCGTAGCTGTGTGTTCCCCTAGACCACAGGCCCCTCCCAGTCCCAAGTGTGAATTAGTGATTCTGGGTGGGAGTTGTGCGGTGGGCGAGCCGAAGTCTCGGGGCCTTCCAGGTGTAGAGCAGAGCACAAGGCTGGGAAATGCCTTAGTGAGAGCTGGGTCTGAGGACTCCAGCTGTTTACTCGGCCTCCTGGGTCTCTTTCCTCACCTGTGAAGTGGGCTCAGAAACCTAGCCTGTGGCACTGTCTGTAAGACCGAGAGGCCCAGCACATGCTCACTGATGGGCCAGCCCTTAAATTCTGTGTCACCAGGGAAGGCTTTTTGCTTGCCCAGGAGGACAGCCACTGAGGGAGGGTACTGGGTCCCCCAGGAGGGACAGTGTGACTGATGGAAGAGGTGGCATGCTCTGATTGCAGGAGGAAAACCAAGAAAGAAGTTACCCAAACAAGAAATACAGGGACTTGGAGTGAAGGAAACTAGAGCCGGGGCTGTGGGTCGGTGGGTGTGAGGCTGTGGGTTCCGTCCCCAGCACTAAGAGAGCGAGACAGACAAACAGACATGGTTGAGTGGGAACAGCCTGGTCTATTCTTGTATAGTTATTCCACAAAAGTAAGACGATGCCAAGGTGGGGAGGGGAGGAATGGATTTGATAAAAATCATCGTAACCATGCACGGTGGCACAGACCTGTAATCGTAGCATCTGGGGACTGAGGCAAGAGGATAGGAAGTTAGAGTTCACACTGAGTTTTGTCTTGTCATTGTTGTTGTTTTGTTTTGTTTTGTTGAGGCAGACTCTCACTGTTAAGTGCAGGCCAGCCTTGAACTTATTATATACCCCAAGCTGGCTTCAAACTTATGATCCTCCCACCTCAGCCTCTCTGGTGCTGGAATTGCAGGCATCACCACACACAGCTTCAGCTGGAGTGATCTGACCCTGTCTCAAAAAGTAAAAAGCGGGGCTTAGTGAAGGCCCCAGCTTCAGTCCCCAGCACTGCGGCCGCCACGGAGCACCAGTCTTGTGAAGCATGTGGGAGAGGCCACAGTCTCCCAAGAACCACTCAGCCACCTCAGCCTTTGTTCTGTGGCTCCCCGTCCATCTCTGGCAGGTTCACAAGTTCTTAAACCGAAACCGAGACCACCTGGATCCCACCGTGGAGGAGATGCTTGCCCAGAGCCAGCTGCAGGTGCCCCGTAGCAGCCCTCCCTCTGCCTTCTCCCCGTAGGCTCCTGCCCGAGGGGCAGCCCTGACCCCAGCACCCCGGGGTCTTGGCTCTCCGGGGCTGTGGGACAGGGTGGACAGGCTGGGAGAGTGGGGAGCAGTTCAGCCCCATCTTGCCGGCAGCTGGTGAGGAGCCTGTTCCAGCAAACAGCGCCCCAGAGAGACAAAGCCACACTGGCCTCCCGCTTCCTGCAGTCCCTGGGGGACCTCTTAGCACAACTGGGCAGGTGAGAAGAGGGACCCCAATTGGAGGCCCCAGTGAGTTGGGGGGTGGTCTGTGCCCAGTGAACCCCCGCTTTGCTCTGCAGGAGTCACATTTATTTTATCCAGTGCCTCAACCCCAACCCTGGAAAGGTGAGCGCCCCCACCCCTCACACTGTACCCCAGATCCGCCCCTCCCCTTAGCTGTAACCCCACAACGGCTCTCATCCACTCTGTCTCTGGCCGTAGATCCCAGGCCTCTTCGACGTGGAACATGTGGCAGAGCAGCTGCACCAGGCTGGCATCCTGGAGGCCATAGACATCCGCAGAGCCCACTTCCCCATGCGCGTCCCCTTCCAGGCCTTCCTGGCCAGGTCAGGCCCGAGTTTACGGCAGCCAAGGGCCCAGTGCCTTCAGACAGGACAGATGGAGAGGGCTCCAGCGTGCCTGGCAGGCCCAGGGCTCTTTCCTGGTGGGGACCGACCATCTCATTTCCCCACGGTCTGCACCTGGCCTGCAAGCCTCTCCTTTCCCTCCTCTCCGTGCTCTTCTGTCCTCCTATTTACTGTCCCTCCCACCTTCACCAGCCCCCACCCAAGCCCGGTTAGAGAGGGCGGGACAGTGCCTGCCTTGGGGTGGCTGGCTCCCAGTGTAGTGGAGCTGGCCAGCCAGGAGGGGAGACCAAGCCGGCAGTGGGGCAGTGGGGCACAATGAGGATGAGGGTGGCGCTGTCTGGGGACTTTGGAAACTTCTGGAAAAGCTGGCAAATTGTTGTTTGCCTACTTGGCATCGCCACTGGCCAGCGGCCTCTCAAAACGCCCTGATGGGCTGCCCCACCCCACACTCTGGTGGCTCCGTTTATCATAATGGCCTTGGCAGTGAGGACAGCCTGACCAAGGGGCAGAGCTGCAGGCTTGCTCTCAAGCCTGCTCTGAAGAAGGCCAGGCCAGGAAGGCTCTGTCCCTGCCCTCTGGACACTCCACAGCTACAGCACCTGCCACCTCCCAGGAACCCTTGGCCCTGCCTGAGGCTGGAGGAGGGGACCTGGGGTTCTGTGGTCCCCCTAGCACTTCAATGGTCTATCGATGAGCCACCCCTGCTGCTCTGTGTCCCCTTCCCCGCCTGCCTCCCTTCCACTGCCACACTGGAGACCACTGTGTTAGGGTGTGCGGGCACCAGGACAGACAGGAGCTCAGGACCAGGACAGACAGGAGCTCAGGACATACTGCTCTTGCCCCTGCCATCCTGAACTAGCCTCATGGCTCTCTGCATGTACGGGCTTCTCACCTCCCATCTCCTCTCCCAAGCTGAGATCGCACTTCCCCAGCGGATGGCTAAATGTCAGTACCCAGCCAAGTCCCTGGCTGTACCAGGGATTGTGGGATGCCCATGAAACTGGATACCTAGAGAGGGGCTTGGGGGGACCCTTGCTCTTCTGACCTAGGCTGTGTGTCCTTGGGACAGATTCTGGGCTCTGGGGACAGAGAGACAAGGCAGTTCCTCTGACCGGGAGAAGTGTGGAGCCATCCTCAGCAGGGTTCTGGGAGCTGAGTCTCCACTCTGTCACCTTGGGGCAACCCAGGTGAGTTCCAGCATCTGCGTGTGTAAGCTGTCAGGCATGAAGGAGAAGGTAGAGAAACCTCCAGGCACAAATAGGGACAAACTCAGGGTGGGTGGTCCTGCAAGTAGTGGCCCAATGGAAGTGGGCTGGGTGGCGTGCCGTTCAGGACAATCCACCAGGATAACACACAATTTGGGTGAAAGGGAGGAGGCAGAGGCCAGAGAAGGGCAGGTGTGTCCTAGGCCTGTCCTATCTGCAGCCGCCCTCTGCCCACAGGTCCTCCTGCAGGAACAGGGTCGGCGGCAGCTGGAGCAACTCTGGGCCCAGCACTGCTCCCAGGCCTTGCTCACCCTGCGTCGTCGGGGCCTCCATGCCTGCATCTCCGGACAGCAGCTCCGCCCCCTGCCCCGGCTGCAGGCTCTCATCCATGGGCTCCAGGCCAGGTCAGCAGGTGCTCGGGTCAAGGGCTGAAGCGGGTAGGAAGAGGCCTCGGGCTCCCCCAGGTGGTGGGGCAGAGTCCAGGTGACAGAGGCTTTCAAGACAAGTCTCCCTGTCCCAGGGCCGTCTCTCTACCTTAATAGCACTGTGACCCCTACCCGAGCAACCTCTGCTGGAATATTCCCAGGCATGAAAAGGTCCCTGCCTTATGAGTCTGCTTGAACCTGCAGTTCTCACTCCTCCATTCTTTTTTTCAATTTCTTCACCCTGAAGCACGAATGATTTTTTTAGCCAGGTATGGTCACACACATCTGTAATCCCAGCACCCTGGAAGCTGAGCTAGAAGGATCTCCATGAGTTTGAGGTCACCCTGGCTACACAGTGAGTTAAAGGCCAGCCTGAACCACCTACTGAGATCTCATCTCAAAAAAACAGAACGAGGGCCAGGGATTTAGCTCAGCAGCATAAGCACCTGCATTGTTCTGAGTTCAATGCTCAGTACAAAAAAAAAAAAAAAAAACAGTGAAACAAAAAGAAACAAAAAAGAATGATCATTTAAAAGAATCAATCAGGGGGCTGGGGATTTAGCTTAGTGGCATAAGTGCCTGCCTTGCCAGTGTGTGGTCGTGAGTTCGATCGTCGGTACTGACAAAAAAGAAAGGACAAAAAAAGAGTAATAAAAAATAAAAATAATGAATAAGGTTGTGTAGGTCCTGCCTATCTCTCCAGCCTGGGTTTAGGCTGGGCTTTTACACTCCAGCCACTTGGACCTCTTGGTCTGTTTTTTTTTTTGGTTTTTTTTTTGTTGTTGTTGTTTTTTTTATCAGTACCGGGGATCAAACTCATGGCCACACACTTGCAAGGCAGGCGCTTATGCTGCTGAGCTAAATCCCCAACCCCTGGACCTCTTAGTCTTATAGTATGACCCTTCCTGATTAACTCCTGTGCACTGTGCTGAAGCCCGCTGACCCTGCCAGCCTGTCTTCGCTTGTTCACACAGCTGCCGCGCCACCCTGTCAGATGCTGGTGATGCAGGAAGGCAGACAGGAGGGATGGTACATCTGAGCTAGTAGGGGTCAGATTCAGACAGCCAGTCAGCCACCGACCACCCCAAGGGTGAGAGTCAAGTGCAGTCTGGGACCTTGAGAGAGGGGGCAACCATCACCACTATCTGGGTCCAGAACTTTCTGCCACATAAACAGCAACTCTGTAGCACTCAGTAGTAACTCCCTCTCCTGGCAACTTTCCTTCTGCTTTCTGTACCCATGAATTTGGCTTTTCTAGCTACCTCCTGGGAGCTGACTTACACAATATTTCCTTTTCTGTCTGGCTTACTATACTTATTGTAACAGTTTTGTTCTTGTGGTACTGGATGTTAAACCTAGGGTCTTTACACCAAGCTACACCCCACCTCTTTTTTATTTTTTTATTTTGGCACAGGATCTTGTTAAATTGCTAAGCTACCCAGGCTAGGTTCAAACTTGTGATCCTCCTGCCTGTCTCCTAGAGTGCTGAAATCACAAGTGTGTGCCACCACACGCAACTTAGCATAATGTTTTCAAATTTCATGTGTGTTAGAGCATACATCAGAACCCCATTTCTTTTTGTTTGTTTGTTTGTTTTGTTTGGGGAGGTTGGTTGGTTGGTTTTGGTTTATTGAGACAGAATCTCACTATGTAGTTTAAGCCAACCTTGAACTCACTATGTAGCTGAGACTGGCCTCAATCCATAGCAGTTCTCCTGCATCAGCCTCCTGTGTTACAGGTATGTGCCTCCATACCTGGTTAGGACTTCATTTCTTTTTCTGGCTGAGTAATATTCCCTTCATGGACTGACTACACATTATTTATATCTGTTTATCTACTGATGGATATTTGAGTTGTTTCCATTTTTTTTTTTTTGGTTTTTTTTTTTCATTTTTATCGGTACCGGGGATCGAACTCATGACTGCTTGCTTGCAAGGCAGTCGCTTATGCCACTGAGCTAAATCCCCAGCCCAGTTGTTTCCATTATTTATGAATAATGCTGCTATGACTATGGGTGTTCAAATACAGTATCTGCTCTAGTCTGTGCTTTCAAGTTTCTGTAGTCATTTGTTCTATGTTGAACTTTTTGAGGAGCTGCCCAACGGTATCCCTCATCATTTTATATTCCTACTGGCAATTTAGCAGGGTCCCAGCTTCTCTGAGTCCTCTGTTATCTTCTGTCTTTTTAGTTATCACCATCCTCAGGAGTGTGAAGGAGAAGCTCATGGTTCTGCTTTGTATTTCTTAGTGTGCAGAAATGTTGAGTATGTTTTCATGTCCTTCTTAACCATGAGCATACTTTCTACAAGAAAATGTCTGTTCCAGTCCTCTCCCTCGTTTTTTAATTTGATTATCTCTTTTTGGTTGAGCTGAAGAAAGCTCTTAATATTTTCTGGATATTAAGCTACTATCAAATATATGCTTTGCAAATATTTCCCTTTCTATGGATTGTACTGCATGTGTGAGTGTGTGTGTGTATGTGTATGCATGCAGATGCGTGTGAGTGGCTCTGGGGACAAAACTCAGAGCCATACTAGGCTGGTCCTGTAGCATGGGGCCACACCCAGCCCTGTTTTTAAATGTGTATCTTTTTTTTTTCTTTTCATTTTTATCGGTACCCGGGATCAAACTCATGACTGCCTGCTTGCAAGGCAGGCGCTTATGCCGTTGAGCTAAATCCCCAGCCCCTAAATGTGTATCTTGGACAGGCCTCCTTTGATGAGTCTGGTCTTCCCTCTTCCCAAATCTCTTTAGCAAAGTCTGCCTTGCCAATAGAGCACAGACAGGTAAAGCCATTGATCCGAGGCCATGGCACCTAATCAGGCGAGGGCTGATTTGAGCCTGAGTGGTTCAGCTCAGCAGTCCAGTCCTAATCCCCGTATGTTAAACAGCCTCTCAAATTACCTGTTCTTCTTTTATGGTATTCTGTTCTCTTCCTGTTGCTTCTGTTGAACCTCCAGGGCCCTAGCTAATCAGAGTCAGTTTCTACGTGAATGTCTAGGCTTAGAGGGTCCAGGTACCAGGCAGGGAGTGTCCATGTGGAGCCCTGATCTGTTCCTCATCCTCTGTGGCCTCCAGGAAGCGATACCTCGGACGGCACGCAGCTATGGCTCAGCTGAACACTGTACTCCTGGTGGCCCGGCCCCTGCTCCAGAGGCGGCAGAGGCTGAAGGTGACGGAGTCTGGGCAGGCAGACTGAAAAGACTCAAGGCAGAAGCCAGGCAGCCTGCTCTGGCCAGTTGCTGAGCCCCGACGCTCAGCCTAAGAGCCCAGCTTCCCAGGGACCAAGGCTGAGACCATCACTCCTTGAACTTTTCCCTTTCCTTCTGCCTGACCAGGGCAGGCAGGGACCCTAGGAGGCCACTGTTGCTTCCCACACCCCCTTCTCCCCTTGGGGTTCCTTCCGTCCCCTCTAGTCCTCCATGGGCCCTACTCTTCCCCCTCTTGCCTAATGACTCCAGTTTGAGGGCCATAAAGCTGCTCAAAGGTCAGCACCCACACTCTGTCCCCATCCCTGGCCTCTCCCTGGCTGGACTTTGTTCCCTGAGACCATTTCTCCCCTTCTTCCTGCCCTCTTCCCAGCACCCTGGGCGGACAGGTAGTGACGTCCACAGCACAGAGACAGTGGGAGCTCAGAAGGCTGGGAGCAGCTGGGGCGCACGGCACGGCAGGCAGCTGTCCCTCTGGGTCTGCTGTTCCTTTGCAGGGTGTCAAGGCCCCCTGGTGGGGAGCAGCTGCTGGGAGGGTCATAGTGGGTCCTGCTGGGGCCTCAGCTCATCCTGTGTCTCCCCACAGCTTGGGCATTGGTGTGGCCAGCGCAGCAGCAGGATCTCAGAGAGAGTACAGAGCATGGTAAGTGGTCTCTCGAGGGAAGAGGTTCTCCGTGGGGTATGAACCCCCACACTCAGCTCAGCTTGGGGGAAGGCTGGAGGCAGAGGTACCACCAGGGATCTTGTCCCTCATGTGCCCCTGAGTGAAGATGAGGTTCCTGTGGCTCTTTGATGCCTTTTCTTCCCTAGAAGGGTTCTTGGGGTGCTGCTCTTTTAAGTACCCGGGACCAGAGTCTTTGGTCTTCGGAGAGGATATTCATATCATCCTGGGGATGAGGGACACAGTGGGTCCCTCTCCCGGCTCCAGGTAACTTTTGCTGTCCCCCAGGAGCTGGACCGCTTAGAGATCCCGGCTGAGCTGGCAGCCATGCTGAGGGCCGCAGAAGGTGCGTCATACTGGTTGTGTAGTGGGGCTACCTCTCTTGTCAGCTCCCCGCCAGCTCCTTACTGATAGGGGCTGGTGACCAATGAGACGGTAGGGTTGGTGCCATTCCTGGCATCATACCTGGTGTCTCTGTGCTGCCTCCTGCTGCTCCTTCCCAGGCCACCAGGACACCCTGGCTGGACTCATCACTGAGACTCTTCCTCCTGAGGTTCCGGTGCGGCCCCGCCTGACCCTCCCGCCAGACATTGACCTGTTCCCCTTCTCCAGCTTCATCTCTACCAGCTTTCAGGTGAGCCCCAGGCCTGTGTGCTTCCTCCAGGCCCAGCATTCCCCACCGTTAGCACCGCCAAGCAGAAGCTTGGCCTTCCCTTCCTCCACTTTCTGGAAACTGCTCTGAAGATACCCATTCAACTGAAGCAGTGCACCGTGGAGTGTTATTTCAGTCCGGAGGCCACACCTTTGTATTCTTGTGGTACTGTTCTACTGTTGAAGTCGTTCCATTAAAGAATGTTTAGCAGAAACCGCCCAGGCTATGGTGCAACATAAAAAAGCAGGATTCAAAACTACACGTATAGTAGAATCCCAATTCTCTTTAGACAACAGGGGCTGGGCTTGGTGCCACAGGCCTGTAATCCCCGCATGCTGGAAGGGGGAGGCAAGAGAATCACAAGTTTGAGCCCAGCCTGGGCAATTTAATGAATTAGCAAGACTGGTTTTGTTGTTGTTGTTGTTGTTGTTGTTGTTTAGAAAAAAAAGACTAGGGATGCCTTTCAGTGTGAAGGCCCTGAATTCAATCCTTAGTACCAAAAAAACCCACACAGAAAACAAACAAACAAAAGGGTGGGGTGTGCCAGATGTCTCCATGCATAGAAGTTAAAACAAGAGTTGAACTTGGTGGCACAAGCTTTTAATCCCAGCATTCTGGAGGCTGAGGCAGGAGGATAGCCCTGAGTTTGAGACTAGCTTGGACTGCGCTGTAAATTCAAGGCCAGCCTGCACTACAAAATGGGAGAAAAAAACCAGCCACCACACAAACAAACATGAAAAAAGGCTAAAATGCTAACTATGGTTTAACTTTGGCTGCAGAATGTTAATGATAGCTTTAATTTTTAGTCTTTTCTGTTTTTTGCATGTATGATATCAATCTTCTAATCAAATAACTACTAAGATACATTTCTGAGCGGGGCATGGTGGCATATTCCTATAATCTCAGCACTCAGGAGGCTGAGGCAGAAGGATCCTCCCTGAGTTTGAGGCCAGCCTGGGTACATGCTTGAACTATATAGTGAGACCTTATGCCAAAAAATCAAAGCCAAAAGAAACAAACAGAAATGCACATTTTTGTCATTGTTACTGTTTTGAGACAGTCTCACTATGTAGCCCAGGATGGCCTCAAACTCAGGGTGATCCTGCTGCCTCAGCTTCCTAAATGCTGGGATTATAGGCTTGCACCACCATTGCCTTGCTAGAAAGATACATTGCTAAGATGACATTACGTCCCAATGCCTCCCCTTCTTCAGGGTGCATGCTTTCATGGGGGTCCCCCTGGATACTACCCCAGCCTTTATAAGCACAGAGGACAAGCTCTGTACCACCCTCCTTCTCTGCAGGAGCCATGCCTGCCCAGCCCAGGATTGCCTCTGACCAAACCACTGACTCATCTGGAGGGAGAGAACCCTCAGCATGCCCTGGACATCAACAAGGTGGTGAGTGACACATCAGGGAGAGGACAGAGTCCCTCACAGGGGCTGGACCAGAACGAGAGTCCTGTACTCCTGCCCTGGCCCCACTTTGTGTCATAGATGCTGCGGCTCCTGGGGGACGGATCCCTGCAGCCCTGGCAGGAGCAGACCATGGGCACTTACCTGGTGTGGCAGGCGCAGCGCCGGCCAGGGCTGCGGGATGAGCTCTTCAGCCAGCTCGTGGCCCAGCTCTGGCACAACCCAGATGAACAGCAGAGCCAGCGAGGCTGGGCCCTCATGGCCATCCTGCTCAGTGCCTTCCCCCCAACGCTCGCCCTGCAGAAGCCGCTGCTCAAGTAATGGGGCCCGCCAGAGGGGTCCTACTGGATGGGGTTCATGCACAACCCCACCTCACAGCAGCTCTGTGTTGTCCCCACAGATTTGTGTCTGACCATGCGCCACAGGGCATGGCGGCGCTGTGCCAGCACAAGCTGCTAGGGGCCCTGGAGCAGACCCCACAGGCCCCAGGGTTTGCCCGGGCTCACCCTCCGACCCAGCTTGAGTGGAAGGCCGGATGGCGGCGGGGCCGAATGGCATTAGATGTTTTCACCTTCAACGGTGATGGCCACCTCCCTCGAAAGCCTCCCACGCCCACAGTGGAGCTGTCCCAGCCCCACCTCTGCCCTCCCTGGTTCCTTCCTGCCTCTGCCTTCCTGCTGCCCCACCCTTTCTGTCTCCTTTCTGTCCTGTTTCTGGGACCCCCAAGGACAGCTGCCCCTTGCCATCAGGTGCAGCCTGCCATCCCTCACCCTGCCCCACTCCCTCCCCTACAGAGGAGTGCTGCTCTGCTGAGGTGGAGTCCTGGACCACGGGGGAGCAGCTTGCTGGGTGGATCCTACAGAACAGGTGTGGCAAGTCTAGAAGGGGACTGTGCAGCAGGAGCTGCCCATTATCACCATCCATGTCCCAGCCTACTGTCCTACCACACACCTCCTGGGGGCCAGGGGCAGAGGCTACTCTCCAGCAGGCAGCAGGGGGCTTGGGTTAAGTGTCAGGTCAGACTAGATTCCAGATGGAGAGCAAAGAGGAGTCTCCACAAGGGGCCGTGTGAGAACCCACAGTCCGATTCCAACTCGTAGGTCAGTCAAGGAGAGCGGCAGAGCCATGGGGACACGGGGTGGGCTGTAAGGTGCTGGCTGAGTGGCCCCAGCAGCTCACAGACTGTGCCAAGGGCTGCAGAGGCCTCTAGGACTCCTTTCCCAGGTCCCACCCCTTGTCTCGCTGTCTACTCCTTGTCCTGGCAGGTCTGTCCCCTGCCGCTCTGACCATCCTCCAGCTTTGGCCCTTGGCCCACCTCACTGACTATCCAATTACTGCACCTTCTCGACCCATCTAGAGGCCTGGAGGTGCCCCCTCGTGGTTGGTCTGTGTCACTGCACTCTGACAATGCCTGGCGTGACTTGGCTGGCTGTGACTTTGTGCTAGACCTGATTGGCCAGACTGAGGATCTGGGGGACCCGACTGTTCCACACAGCTACCCCATCACCCCACTTGATTTGTAAGTGCCATCCAGCACCCCTCTCCCCAGCCCGCCCCTGCCTTAGTGGTCACCCTTGCAGCCCCTCTTGTCACACCAGGGCATAGGCGCTACTGCAATGTCCCTCACCCAGGCCTTCTCCCACTTCATCCAGGGCCTCTGCATCCCTTTCCCACCTGGGTGCCCCTCACAACCTCAGCAGCCCTTAGCCAGACCTACTGTCTCTTCCAGAGCCAAGGACATCCCACCTGCCCCTGGGGTCCAGGCCCCCTCTTTGCCCCCAGGCCTTCCTCCAGATCCAGCCCCAACACTGCCCAGCAGAGGCCACACAGGTAAGGCACACTGAGGCCATCCAGTGCATATAGAGAATGGTGTATAGGCAGCCCCACCTCCAGCTGGATCACCAACCTGTCCCTGCCCCCCAGGGGAGTCCCAGAAGTCAGGGAGCCTGGATGGTTTCCTGGACCACCTCTTTGAGCCTGTTCTTGCCCCTGGCTTCAGCGTAAGTGTTACCCAAACACCCCTAGCCTACCCCTGCATCCCTGGGGCTCTACTGCCCCTTCCAGTCTTCCCTGGCTCTCGCTCTGACATGTGACCTTGTCCCTTCAGGATCTGGAACAAGGCTGGGTGTTGAACAGCCGCATGAAGGGAGGAGGCTCCATTGGGCCCAGGCAGCAGGGCTATCCCATGGGTGAGTGTGAAATTGATTCTGATCAAGGTCCTCCCAGGCCCCAGAAGCAGAGATAGGCCTGGCCAGGGACCCCTCAGGTGGCTGAGAGGGGAGGGAATCCCGCCAGCACCCCGTGGTCAGTTCACTTGCCTTGCTGTGGTTGGGGGAGTTGGCATGAGGGCCTGGTAGAAACTCACCTATCCCCCTTAGTATACCCAGGGATGATGCAGATGTCTGGATACCAGCCAGCTATGATCCCTGCACCCATGCCTGTGATGCCAGCGATGGGCACAGTCCCTGCCATACCAGGTAGGGCTGAACTAGGGTCACCAGGCTCTCTTCTCAAGGGAGCAGCTGTGAGCTCTGAGACTAGAAGGGGTATCCATGGACACAGGGCACTGAGGGCCTCAAGTGTGGCCCTTGTGCTTATCTGCTCTGGCCCACCTGTTATCCTCACAGCCATGATGCTGCCGTCACAGTCACAGCCCCTGCTGCCCAGCTTGGACACGAGGGAGCTGGCAGTCCAGCAGCAGAACTTCATCAACCAACAGGCGCTGCTCCTGGTGAGGGGGGCAGGGCCCCAGGGATCTCCCAGGGGTGGGGAGGGCAGGAGTGTGGCACACAGCCAGCCAGAACTCTTACCTGGCCCCCTGCCCATCCCTCTTAGGCCCAGCAGATGACCAACCAGGCCATGAGCCTGTCTCTAGAGCAGCAGACTCAGCAACGCCAGCACCAAGCCCTGGCCTCCACAGCTGCCTCCCCAGCACCACCCCCAGCTGTCGCTCCCAAGACCAAGAAGCCTCCTGCACCCCAGAGAGAGCCACCCCAGAGGGAGCCAGAATATGACTTGGAATCGCCAGGTCCCTGCTCAGGGGTAAGGAGCCAAGGCTGTGTGGACAGTGAGTGACACTTGGGGTGGAGACAGTAGGTGCCAGGGTTACAGGGGTGAGACCTGAGCGGGAATGTTTCGGGGAGGGGGGTGATGTATGTGTGGGCGTGTGGCAGGCGGGGCTGCTCTTCACCTCTCCCTTCTCCCAGGAGACTTCAGAGGGGACTGAAGACAGGACCTGGCACCCCAAGACCTTCCAGCAGAAAAGGGACTACTTCCAGAAGATGGGTGAGAGTATTCAGTGTGGCCTGGCCGTCGAGGGCTGGGTGTCAGCATGGACCCTCCAGGAGCCCAGACAGGCCGGCCAGTGGAGCTGTGGGGAAAATGGGAGTGACAAAAGACCATCTGGGGTACTTACAGGGCAGCAGCAGATCAAGGTGAAGATGGTGAAGCCTCCAGCCAAGGTCCAGATCCCTCAGGGCGAGGAGGTGGAGGAGGAGGAGGAGGAGGAGGAGGAAGAGAACTGCGAAGGTGGAGCCTCGGGCAGGGGCCTCAGGGGCTCTGCACTCCCATGCAGCTTTTAACCATCTGCCTGTCCTCTTCCTATCAGCGCCGCCCCCTCCTCCTCCCCCAGTCGTGAAGAAGCCAATGAAACAAAGCGGAACCAATGCTGCTTCAGAAAAGGTGGAGGCTGAGCTCCCCCTGGCTGAAAAGGCCAGGCCTGCCCCAAGCAGGAGGCCTGCAGTGAGCAGCTCAGACCCCACGCCACACTTGGAACCCAGCAGGGAAATTCGCAACATCATCCGCATGTACCAGAGCCGCCCAGGGCCTGTGCCTGTGCCTGTACAGCCCATCAGGTGGGCTCAGGAGCTGTGGCCAGGTCTTTACTGCCCAGGGAGTCATCCTGTGGACCTAGTAACCACTTGTTTCTCTCATAAGGCCTCACAAAAGTTTTCTTAAGAGAAATGATCCTAAGGACGAGGCTTTGGCCAAGCTGGGGATCAATGGTGCCCACTCCCCTCCATCGGTGAGCCCCTCTCTGTTCCCTCAGGGTACAGGCTGTAAGTCTGAGGCTTTAGGGGTAACTTTGGTCTTGCCCTCATACTTTCTCCATGTCCCCCCCAGACACTGGTGCCCAGCTTGGAGAAGGGCCCTCCACCACCTGTGGCTCCTCGACCCAGGTCCCAGCCGCGACATGAGCCTGCCCTCTCCATCAAGGAAAAGCAAGGACCCCTCCGGGACCTATTTGGCCCAATTCCACCCACTCCCCAGGCACCCCCATCCCCACCAGCACCACCACTGCCTCTGCCTGAGGAACCGAGGACCCCTTCAGCAGAGCCTCGTGGTGAGGAGTTCCATGTCTCCACACAATGGGCTCCTGCGCAGTGGGTTAGGGAGGGAGGACTGCCTCTTGGGACTCATGGCCCAAGTCATGGCTGAGATCAGCTGCACATATTTCTGGACTTTGGAGCCCTGAAGCCCTGGCTTCCTCATTCCTGCCCAGGGTAGGGCCTGGGCATCCTGCAGCCTGTCTGTGTGAGAGACTGTCACAACCTGGGTGTCAGCTTCAAACAAGACCTGATAACTCCATAGGGAATTTAGTGACTCTGGCTGATGGAGACAGAGCCACCATGGAAAGTTTGGGACCAGAAGTGGAGATAGGACATGATGCTGAGGGCAGGACTGAGACAGCTGGAGGCTGACAGAACCAGTCTAGGGTGGGGTCTTCCCTGTCTGTGCCCCATTCTTCCCGTTGCAGCGTTCCCTAGCCTGAGGCTCTGTGCTCTTCCCCTCCAGCTTTGGCAAAGCCCATGGAGGACCAGGAGGTCTCCACCCAGCTCCTTCTACCCTCTGGCAGTGTGTGCTTCTCCTACACCAGCGTACCCTGGAAGTTGTTCCTACGAAAGGAGGTAGGCATGAGGGTGGGGCCCCAACCTCAGGTCAAGGTGACAGGCAGGCTGTAGGGATCTCAACCTGGGACTGCAGCATCCCTCCTCATGACCCGTCTTTCCAAGGCTCATTTCTGGGCCTGGGAGAGCAGTGAGGGCTAGGTAAGAAACAGACCCTGCCAGACTTTTCCCCATGCCTCTTCCAGGTGTTCTACCCCCGGGAGAACTTCAGCCATCCCTACTCCCTCAGGCTTCTCTGTGAGCAGGTAAGAGGCTAGAGCACCTGCCAGCATGCCATATCTGTATCCTGGAGCCCCGCAGCCTAACTCCTAGACTAGGACAACATGTGTGTGAGGCATGATAGCAGCCAGCATTTCCAGAGCTCTATGTGCCAAGTCCTGCCTCTCAGCATCCTAGGAAGAAGGGACCATGATTAACCTACACACAGTACACAGCCCAGGCACAAGGGACTCCAAAAATGGTACCCTATACCTCTGGATGTTCCCAGGACTGTCTTGGCCCCTTCAAAATCCATAGTGGTCCCCACTTACCCCACCACAGTCTGCTTCTGCAGGGAAGCTTATACCAGCTTACCCAGCCATAGTGGGGAGAAGCAAAGGCATGGAGGCACCAGGGGGAGGGGCAACAAGCCAATCTGAGTGGGTTCAGGACCCCTCTCTGCTTGCACCCTGGGAGTGCTGTAGGGTGAAGGCACACTCTACTGGGCCCTCCAGCCTCTCCTTTATGCAGCTCTGGGGTGGGCTCTGGCTTCAGGACCTGGTACTGACCATCTGGCTCTGTTCCCAGATCCTACGGGACACCTTTACTGAGTCCTGCATCCGGATCTCCCAGGAGGAACGGCACAAAATGAAAGACCTGCTGGGTACGGGTCCAAGGATCCTGGAGTCAGGGAGCTGGAGTGCTGGACAAGGGAGGAAGTAGCCATGGGAGCACTCTATAAGGAAGGGTGGCCTAAGGACAATCTGGGCCCCTACTACCCGCAGGACACTTGGGAGTGGGCCTGGACTCCCTTACTACCACTGAAGACAGTGTCAAGAAGCGAATCGTGATGGCTGCTCGGAACAACTGGGCCAATTATTTCTCCCGAATCTTCCCTGTTTCGGTCAGTGATATTGGGGTAGGGTGCAGAGTGTCAAGCCTTGAGATGGGCTCCAGCACACAGGCTGGGCTGTCTATAGACAGGATGACAACCGGGCGGCGGAATACAAGACAGCCACTAGCCCCTTTGCAGCTCCTGGTATCTTTGGCGGTGCTAGGACCCTTGGAGCCTGACCCTGAGCCATTCACCTTCCTGGCAGGGTGAGAATGGTAGCGATGTGCAGATACTGGGTGTGTCTCATCGTGGGCTAAGACTCCTCAGCGTGACCCAAGGCTCCAGCTTCCATCCGAACCAGCTGAAGATACTCTGCTCCTACAGGTCAGCTGCCCCAGAGCCCAGGATGGGGGCAGGGTGGCAGGATGGCCCTTGACTCATGCCTCACCCTGTGCACAGCTTTGCCGAGGTACTGGGTGTGGAGTGCAGGGGTGGCTCCACCCTGGAGCTTTTGCTGAAGAATGAACAGCTGGTGCTGTACACAGCCTGGGCGAGGGCCATCAAGGCCATGGTGGAGCAGTTCCTGAGTGAGCTGAGGAAGGCAAGCTTGGGCCAGGTGGGGGCTGGGAGGACAATGGCAGCCTCTGCCAGCTGTAGCTCTCCTTGCCTGGCTCCCCTGGGTGGGCTGGGAGTTTAGGCAGAGTCCCTGAAGCTCCAGTGTAGAGGTGGCAGCCAACTCAGGTTCCTAGCCTGCTCACCCTCCGGGCCCACAGGACTCTGGCTATGTCATCGCACTCCGGAGCTACATCACCGATGACCACAGCCTCCTCAGCTTTCATCGTGGGGAACTCATCAAGCTGTTGCCAGTGGCTACCCTAGAACCAGGTATCCCCAGGGCCAACTGCAGGACCTGGCCCAGGGAGGGCACCCCACTAGCAGAGCCTGCTGAGGAGGAGAGGGCCAGATGGGTGAGCCAAGTCTTGGGATGCCATATAGGCTGGCAGTTTGGCTCTGCTGGAGGCCGATCTGGACTCTTTCCTGCGGACATGGTGCAGCCGGCTGCTGCTCCTGATCACTCCTTCTCGTCAGAGCAGAAGAGCAGCTGGCAGCGCAAGAGTCAGCCACAGCTTGCAGAGCCAGGACCAGCTCAGTGGGACAGGGCCCTGGAGGTGAGGAAGACAGGTAGAGGCCAGGCATAACTAGAAGCTGAGGAAGGAAAGCGTGATTGGCCCAGGGATCACCTGCCTCCCGCGGCCTCTTGTGGTTTGGTAGATAGTCCTGGTGTGTTGCTTCTTCCTGCCTGCTCTGAGTTTCTTACCTTGTCTCAGCAACAATGCAGTAAGCCCCTGTAGAGAGGGGCTGGGCTCCATGCCTCTCTGCTCCCACAGTGTACTTAGTTCAGTGCTACCAATAAAGTCTTGATCTTCCTGATTTCCGGCCTTACTATTCTCGAATCAGCAGGGATAGGGATGGTGCTGGGGGTCAGGGTCTCAAGGACAGGCTGTGGACACTTGGGTGGCACGATTTCCTGTGCTCTCAGAGCCCTGCCCATTCCCAGAGCCAGGCATACAGTGACAACTCAGAGGCCACCAGCCTGCCCTCCTCCATGGTCTACACCTCTCTGTCCACTGATTCCCACAACTACACCATGCAGGAATTTGCACTGCGTTACTTCCGGAAGCCTCTCGCATTGTGAGTGCCCTTGGCCACCCCCCATACCTGTGCATCCTCAGTCTCCCAACATGAGCCCCCTACCCAGAGCACCAGGCCAGTGCTGTCACCATCCCCTTCATAGCCTGGAACAAGGGCAGAGGCCTGAGCAAGCAGGGCTGTCTTCTCTGACCTCACAGGCTGGACCTGACAGTTGGAGGTGCCAAGGCGAAGGATATGGCCATTCTAGTACAGTACAGCAAGGTAAGGGGCCAAGTGGGGAGGAGTCTGGCCCATGGATCTGCCCTCTAACTCTCAGAACCACAGACCAAGGCCCAACCTCTTTGGCCACAGACTCCCATCCAGGAATCACTCATTCGCCTCAGTGATGACACAAGCAGGCAGGCTGTGGCAGGATTCGAGAGTAAGTGGTGCAGGCAGCCTAGGTCCCCTGCTATCTTGGACCTAGGCCCCTTGTCATCTTTTCTTTTGAGTCCTACCTGGCTCTGCCCCAGCCTGTCAACTTAGGGAAGTTCGTTGGTGGACTTCCACTCCTCCCCTACCCATACTCCTACCTCCTAGCAGTTGTGTGGAGGCTGGGATTGGAGGACAGTGAGTGAGTGGAGCAGACACTGTGTCTATGTGTGGACCTGGCATAAAGTATTCCAGAACCTGTCTCCTCGGCAAAGCTGGAGTCAGCTGCCTAGCCTGGTGCACGTGTATTTGGAGAGTAAGACATCAGACAGTAGGGAAAGGCTGTGCAGCAAGTGTGTGCTGGGCCAAGCTCGGGCCCAACTCCCACGCTCTTTATCCTGCCTGTAGCACTAATGCAGTTTATGGGGGACCAGTCTAAGCCCCGTGGCAAGGATGAGATGGATCTGCTGTATGAGCTGCTGAAGGTAAGCAAGGACGGTGTGTGCTGCAAGCTGGTGCAAGAGGCCTGGAGTGCCTTTTCTTCCTCTCCTGCCTGGGCCCGAGTCCCTTGATTCCCTTGGTTACTATTCGTCTTTTTTTTATTTTTGCTTGTTTTTGTTTTATTTATGGTTTTTGTTTTTTGTTTTGAGATAGGGTCTTGCTTTGTAGTTCAGGCTGGCCTTGAACTTGAGGTAATCTCCTGCCTCAGCCTCCCAAATGCTGGAACTATAGCCATGTGCCACCATGCTTGGCTGTTACTATTCCTTTTAATCACTCCAAAGTATGTCCTGAGCACTTAATATGTGCTGGGGGGCATGGCTGTGAAGCGAGTAGGCTAAATCCCTGCAGCGTGCACAATCTCACAGGAGGACACAATAAACGAGGACATTACACATCTGAGAGTAGAGCCCATGGTAGAACACCAAGGCGGGGGAAAGAAACGCTGCCTGGGGAAAGGACTGCAACAGAGGTCTGAAAAGCAGTGAGCCACGGGGACATAGGGACAGGGCCTTGGACAAGGGAAGGGCAGAGGTGACGGTAATGACAGGAAGCTTCAGCACCAGTAAGGCCAGCTTGGAGGATGAGGACAGTGAGGGGACAGGGTTCAGCTCACAGCAGACCTTGTGGGTCAAATGTTAGAACTTTGATTTTTCAGTATCAGAGAGGTTGTAAAGAAAGACTTGGCCTAGATCTCCCAGGTTTACTCTGGCCATTTTCTGAGATTCTGGGGGGTTTAAAGGTGAATAGAGGGGCTGGGGATTTAGCTCAGTGGCATAAGCACCTGCCTCGCAAGCAGGCGGTCATGAGTTCGATCCCCAGTACCGATAAAAATAAATAAATAAATAAATAAATAAATAAAGGTGAATGGAATGCCTGTAACCCCAGCCCTTGCAAGGCAGACCAGAAGATCACTGAGAGCTCAAGGCCAGCCTGGGCTACATAAAGAGTTTAAAGCCAGCCTGAAATACATAGCAATAACCTGTCTCAAAACAACAACAACAAATAATAAGAATAATAATGGAAATTATTACAGTGTCTCCTGGTGAGGGTACTGGCTTGGCCCAAGGCAGCCGCTAGGGGGAGAAATGGGAAGATACAGACTCCAAAGGACTGACTGTGGGTGTGAGGGGACACAGCAGTAACTGTCATTGAGAAAGAGCAGGTCTGGGCTAGTGTTGGAGTCTGTTCTGGCTATGTGAGGTTGCAGACTTCTGAGCAGAGAGGGCTGAGGTTAAAGGAAAACCTGGGCTGCAGGCAGGCACTAGAGCCCTAAGTAGGGACAGCTGAGACATCAGAAAGGAGAGGGAGAGGCCCCAGGGCCCTGAAGCACCTGGAGGCGGAGAAGGCAAGGTTGAGCCAGCTAAGATAGCGAAGAGACCACAGCAGGTAAAGCAAGTGACTAAGAGAGTGGTGGCCAGGAGTGGTGGTGCCCATCTGTAGTCCCAAGAGCTGACAGAAGAACCGCTGTGAGTTCAAGACACTGTCTCAGAGCGAGAGACAGACAGACAGAGACAAAGAGAGGTGCTAGACATGGTGATCTCAGCACTCTGGGAGGAAGCAGGAAGACCAAGTTTGAACCTAGCATGAAGCAACTGAGCAACTTAGTGAGATTCTGTCTCTAGATAAAAAATAAAACAAGGGCTAGGAATGTATCTCAGCACAAAGACCTTGCATTTGATCTCTAGTAACCCCATTCCAATAAAGAATGGCCTCGGCCCAGGCATGACTCAGTGGTAGAGCATATGCCCAGCACCTGTGAGGCTTTGGGTTCCATTCCCAACACTCCATACGAAAAAAGGGCGAGAGAGAACAGAAGCGGGGGCAGGGAAAGGAGAGGAAAAAGGAGGAGAGAGACTAGTTGTACAGATCCCGTCATCTGCTGACCCGAGCACACTGTCATTAGATTTCTGCCAGATTTTAGATCCTATGCTGTCCCACTGCTCCTCTGCCTTACCCTGTCCTGCCTACCTGCCCTTCCTTTCCCCACAGCTGTGCCGAGAGGAGGACCTTAGGGATGAAATGTACTGCCAGGTCATCAAGCAGGTCACAGGACACCCCAAGCTGTGAGTGGGGATGGTGGAGCGGGGGCCCCCAGGTCCAGTGGGACACTGTGGTCAGGTCAGTCTGTAGCCTGGGCTTTCTGACCCCCAGGGAGTACTGTGCCCGGGGATGGAACCTCCTCAGCCTCTTCACAGGCTTCTTCCCCCCGTCCACCACACTGATGCCTTATGTGACCAAGTTCCTGCAAGATTCAGGCCCCAGCCAAGGTGCCTTGGGATGGGAAGGGAGATGGGGACCCCCAGGCTTGGTACTTGCTGGCTGGGGAGGGGCTTGGACAGCTCATGACCTTCTCATGCTGGCTTCTTTGTAGAGCTGGCCCGGAGAAGCCAGCAGCATCTCCAGCGCACAGTCAAATATGGGGGGCGTCAGCAGCTGCCGAGACCAGGAGAAATGCGGGCTTTTCTGGTATTGAGATGGACAGATGGGCCTTCTGGGAGCCCCCAGGGAGAAGGGGTGTCCATAACACAGCTGCAACCTCTGACTGCTCTGAGCCTATAACCTGTCTTGACAGAAAGGACAAGCAGTCCGCCTGCTTGTGATTCACCTGCCTGGGGGTGTAGACTACAAGACAAACGTGCAAACCTTCACGGTGAGGGGAAGGGGCTGAGGGAAGAGGCCATGGTCTCGGCTCTGTGCCTTCCAGCCTCCCCATCATCATAGGCCCATCCACTTTCCCAGGTGGCAGCAGAAATACTGGAGGAGATGTGTGGTCAGATGGGCATCACGGACCCCCAGGAAGTACAGGAATTTGCCCTCTTCCTTGATAAAGAAGGTAAGCCCAGATAGAGGGAGGGAAGGGAGCCCAGGCTGCTTCCTGTTCATCAGGGGTCAGCTTCTAGGCTGGGGCAGCGGGGTGGGCTGTGAGCAGTGCTGGCCTGGACTCCTCATGCAGGTGAGCTGGTTCGGCCCCTGTGGCCCCACGAGTACCTCAACAGCGTGATTGTGAACCTGAACATGAGCTTGCACAACCGGCGGCTCATATGGGAGACCCCACTGCACTTCGATCACCCTGTCTACATTGGCACCCTCTATGGCCAGGTCAGCCCCTGCTCCTAGACTGCCATTCAGTGCCCCTGCACCTTGAGGGTGGAGTTCCTGGCAGGGTGCTCTCTAGGCTCCCTCTGCACAATGACATAGTCTATGGCAGCTGAAAGCACTGGTGACAGGAATAGGCTTTGAGTCCCAACGGGTGGGGACCACTGACTGCTGGGGACTGGGGCACAGCAGCTCCCTCACAGCCTCCCTCTCCAGGTGCTGCAGGACTACCTCCAGGGGAAGCTGATGGGCCATGCCCAGGCAGATGGTCAGCTTGCCCACCTGGCTGCCCTCCAGCACCTTGGCAGGGCCAGCAAAAGCCCCCCCTCAGAGTATGTGAGCATGGCCCCCACACCTCCTGTCATGCCCCTTCCCATCCAGCACCAGCTCAAAGGCCTCTCTTCAGCCCACCACCCCCATTCCCTCCTCCAAAGCCTCTCCATTTAACCCTTCTTGGGCCCGATCAGATTGGCCTGGAGTGGTGGACACCTGTCCCCTCTACCTTACTCCAACCTCCTCCAGGGCAGGTGCTCACTGGTTCCTATGTGGGTTCCTAGTCTTCTCCACAGTGGGCACCTGTTCAGTTACCTGCCACTAGCTGGTGAGTCCTAATCCCAGGATGTGTCTCTAGGCAAGATCTGCTGGGTTATATCCCAAAGACACTGCAATGGCAGGTGAACATGGACAGCATAAAGAATTTGATGGACCAGAAGCTAAGACAGCTGCAAGGACAGAGCTCCCAGGATGCACAGATCAGCTTCATTGGTGGGTGTGGGGAAAGAGGGCTGCTGGCCCAAAAGAGAAGGGGCAAGGGTGGAGAAGCAAGGTGGCCTGTAGGCTGCCTGTCACCCACCTGTCCTAGGAATGCAATGGGGCAGGGTCTAGGGGTCCTCGCAGTCAGAATTCATGCTCTGGCTGTCTCTGTCCCCAGAGGCCACAAGGCAGCTGCCCCTCTTTGGCTACACCGTGTATGTGGTGCTGCGAGTGAGCAAGCTGGTGCTTCCTGGACCTGCCCTCTTGGGGCTCAATCGCCAGCACCTTGTCCTCATGGACCCCATCTCCCAGGTGGGCAAAGTTCCTGCCCCAGTGCTGTCCAGGAACCTTCAGGCCATTCTTCTTGCACCATTTGTTGATCCCCACCCCAGAAGAACCAAGCTCTCTTGTCTCTGTGGCCCCTAGAAAATGTGTAGCTCCATAGCCCTGAAGGACCTGCAGCGGCTCCATCTGCTGAGCCCACTGGAGCCCAGCGGACTCCCTGGACTGGAGCTCAACTATGGCTCAGCCGACAGCCCCCAGACCATGTGGTTGGAGCTGCCACAGGTGAATGCCCAGAGCTTCTGATGCTTCAGGAAGGAGGGTGTGAGTGCCTCCATCCAGCCCTGGCCTATGGCAGAAACCTGGGCTCAGGGTGGAGCCACAGCTGGGTGGGAGTGAGTGGGCAGTAGAGGGGACTGACTGGGGAGCCGAGTGCTGACAGACCTCTCCCCGCGCAGGCCCAGGAACTGTACCACACCGTGCTCTTCCTGCTGGATGGCAGCGCATCTTCCATTCAGTGACCCCAGGGGCCTAGCCTCAGCTGACGGCCGGATCTCACCCAAGCCCAGGCCCGCCTTGACCTTTTGCCTGGGTTGCTAGCAGGTTATTTTTGGTTTGGACCTCACCTGGCTCTTCTCCGGAACCTGCCACAGCATAGGCCGGCTGGCCCACGAGGAGGCTATGGGGCAGAGTGCCACAGTGACTTTAAATGAAAAACCAGCTGCACTTCCCCTGCGGTGGGCCAGAACCCACTGTAAGGGCTATAGGAACCCGGCTTGGACATCTGACATTGCCCAGACTGGGGGAGATACCCACCTGGCCCCAAGTACCCACCAAGACTCAGTGTCAGCATGAGCCCAGGCCTGGAAGAAGCTGCTGAGGAAATAAAACTCCCAAGAAAAAAGGGCTATATGTATGTCAGGCAAACAATACTTTATTACTCCTGTAAACACAGCCAGGCCTCGCCTTCCTGACCAGCAGCTAAGCTGAGCGTAGGGCCTGTGTGCCACCACTCCTCCCACCAACTCTACACCTGAGGCAAGGCTGGCATCTCAAGGGAAGCAGGTAAACAGAGGCCCTGAGCAGGCCCCATTCCTTGGACAGGTGGCCCTTGCTCCTGGCTCAGAACCTGGTGAGTGTGAGACAAAAGGCCATTCCTGCTCTGCTGCTGGCAGCAGCCACACCACCTGCCACCTCTAACCTGGGGATCTGACCCAGAAAACGCAGCCTTCAGGGCTGGGAGAGACAAGCAGCCTCTGAGAAGGACCACAGGCTTTACAAGCAGGAAGGCTGGCTGACCCTTGACCTCTGACTTGATTTGGGAAGCATCTGGGACCATCTCCAATGTGAGATATGGTTGTCAGAGGGAAGGGCCCTGAGAAAGATGGTACCCCTGGCACCAGCAGGCCTGCCCAGCTTCCTATTCTGAGCAAGGCCCAGACTGGCTCATGAGTTTGGGGAGATTGCCAGTTCTGTAAGGCCAGCAGCAGGTCATCTCTGTGGGCCACACAAGCTGTGCCAGTCGGCTTCACTCTCACATCTCACACGGCCAAGGAAAAACTGCTTGATGAGGCTCTGGGCTTCTTCCCTCACTATGGAGTCAGGGCAGGGGAACATAAAGAGGTAAGGGCCAGTGTCCTCCCTGCAGACTACCCCCAGTGCCTTAGGTCTTGGCCATGTTGGCACTTACCACTCCTCCCAGGCAAGGTCTTCTGAGTCAGCAAGTGTGAAAGGTGGCGAGCAAAGCCTTTAAACAGCTCCTGGAAGGCAAAAGGAGAAGAGAGCAGGAGCCATCCACAGCCATCACCAAGGGCAGGGGGTAACCAGGAGTTAGTCTGAGTCTCAGATTTCACCTGCTCTCTCCTGCACTGTTCTGGGGTGCATGCTCCCCACCTCTACCCACTACACCCAAGTCCCCTGGGGAAGGCAGTGCCCACCTATTCATCCTACCTTGGATGCAAACTTGCCCTCCTTGTAGAAGGGGGTCAGGTACCTGACCACAACATCTGCAGCCTCCTTCAGGGAGATGCCAGGAGCTGAGAGCTGGCAGGGGGGTTGGACTATGGCATTCAAGGTGCTCTGGCCACTGGCTGAGGTGCTGCCCTTGTCTTCCGCTAAGACGGAGGGCTTGGCTGAGGTGCAAGGCCTCTTCTGAGTTGGGTTATCTGGGTTCTCCTAGACAAAGCCACAGTGGGGACAGGGGTGGTCACTTCCCTCCACTGGCCCTGTCCCTTCCTCTTAGCATCAGGTGGTTCCCTCCAGCCTGTCCATCAGCCCCTGGGCTGTTGAAAGTAATGATTCCCCAAATCCCTGACCAAGGAGAAGCAGATCCAGGCCTCTTCCACAGGCCTCTGTGGTCACAATCCTGGAGGTACCTGCTGCAGTCTGGGCCGCTTGCCCATCTGTATCTCCTTTGGGAGGCTGAGCGATGTTTCCAGGGTCTCCTGGCCTCTAAATGGGCAGGTGCTGGCCAGAGAAAAGAGCAACATCAGAGCTGCAAATCCAGCTGCTCCCCAGTCCAGGCAGCCAGCAAAGCCCAATGAGGCCCACTACCAAAGGATACGCAGCCATGTGTATTCCACACACAGGCTTTCTACCACATGGAATTTCATGACTATCAATGCCCTTACCTTGGCTGCTCCCCGGAAAACTTCTCTGTGTGGAGGGCAGTTATATGCCCCTGGGCTCCATCTTTCTTCTCTGTGTTCTTCTCTGGGGCCATGAAAGGTCCCTGCACCCCCTCACAGGAAAGACTGGCACCTTCTGCCCTCAGGGCTGCACTAAGTACAAGTGGGTTTGCCACCCTTTGGCAGAAGAAGCGGGTGATATTCTGGGAACCCTTGTGAGCTGCTGTGGCTAGGAGCTGCTGTTTCTTGCTGGCCTGGGCCTTGGCCACAGACCTGTTCCCACAGGAGCCTTTTAGCTTTTTCTCAGGGGAGGGTCCCCCACAATATGCCCTACCAGCAGGGGCCTCTTCACTTGGCCCAGGGAGAAGCACACTTCTATCCTCATCCTGGAGAACACAGAGTTGGCTGGGGGCCTCCGGCTCACCTCCTTCTGTGGGCTGGGGGGCTTGCTCCTGTGTGTGAGACTTCCCCATCAGCTCAGTGGCTGTCTGGAATGGGGAGGAGCCTTTGAGGAAGCCAGCTCCCGTCCTCTTGGCTTTGAACTATAAGGAAGAAAAGGGAAGGTCCAGACCCTGGTGATCCCACAAAGGTAAACCGCTGGCTGCTCCAGCTGGGATGGGGCTCTCAGGAGTAAGGGAACAGTTGGACAGGATATCATTTGGGGGTCAGGATCACAGAAGAGACTAGCTGGGAAAGGTATAGCTGGCAGAGCAGAGAAGCTCCAGGGTCTTGTCTGGCACTTTAGAGGCAGGGCTGGGATGCCAGGAGAGGTCAGAAAGCTATGCCCTACCTGAGGATAGAGGAAAAGTAGAACCTTCCCTAGACCCAGGTTTGGGGTAGACAACAGGACGCTACTCACTGAGTACATGTGGGATGCTGGTGGTATGTCATACTCATTGGGCTCCGGGGGCTCCACCTGGGCACTGCAGCTCTCAGTGCCACCTCCCATGTCATATAGCTGCCCATCCTTGGAGGCTTTGTGAATCTCAGCCACCTGGGCAGGGAAAGGCAGAGAGGCCATGGCACCCATGATCTTCTCCTGATAGTTCCAATCTAAGTCCTCTGTCCTTTTCCTTCAGTCACAAGAAGAAACTTGACACTGAAGGTGTCTCTCTAAAGGTGACTAGAAATGTCAACTGGCCAAGAAGATGGCTCTATTCTCATAAATGGCCCCTAGAGCCAAAGGGCGGACAGACAGTCTTGGAATCCAGAGGGGCTGCCCTTTCCTATCCTGAGCCTGGAATGTGCTGTCCCGCCCAGGCCCACCTTCTTCAGCACGCTGGCCTTGTACAGGTTGGCCATCTTGGCATTTTGGAATGTCTTGTGCTCCAGCTCCACAGCCCTGGTGCGAAGGTCCACTCTGTGGGTAGGGATGAGCACAAGTAACAAGATCTGAGCCCTCTCCCTGTGGACCTCAGTTGGATTTTCTCCAGGACTGTGAGGATGGGCACAGGGATTGTGACTAAGTCATTTGGGTACCCTATGGCTCACTGGCCTTCAGGGTGGCCATGCCAGCCTCCTGATGGGGCTGAAGGACTGATGCCCCTGATGTAGGAAGGTCACAATCGGGGGAGAAGAGGCACAAACAAGCAGAGGGATATGGGCTTCAACAGTCTCCTCAGGAACAAAGGCATGGAGAAGCCCCTGTTCTAGGCAGCAGTCCCACAGATCTTGGGACACTCACCCAACAGTGCAACCTGCAGCCTGATGGTTACTGCTCAGAGCCTCCTCCAGAAGCCCCAGGCAGTGCTCTCGGGCCTACAGGGAAAGGAAAGTCAGCCCCCGGCTCAGGGCGTGGTCCTGGCACCAGGTGAGGAGCTGCACTTTTCTTACCTTCACAGTGAGCCGGGGGATCCTCCTACTAGAAGCTTCTTTCAGGGGACAGTCCTCATCTGGGGAGAGGAGGGATGGGTCCTTGCATGGGTCCTTGACTTCCAGCTCCCTGGAGTCTCCCAAGTGCCAATTAGGCATCTACCATCCACACCCTGAGCATGGCCCGCAAGTCCCTAGAAACATTTCTGTACCAACCTGGGGGTATGAATTCTTCTATCTTGGGATCTTTGCCCTGAAAGATGGCATGAAGAGCCCATGAGGCATCCTGCTCTGCTGCAGGACAGTTTCTACCAATGCTAGAGAAGGGGCTGAGAAGGTGTGAGCAGGGAGACCACCTGGGCCCTGTGTGGGTTGCTGAGCCCCTGCTGAACCCTGTGCCCCTTCACCTTGCGCAGACTCATCTGCTTCTGATAGAAGAGACTCCATTCTCGTTTGTGGGCCTCATCTCTGCCCTCATCGCCACTGCCTCCAGAACCTTCATCATACCTGGAGGACAGGCTGGGTATAAGCAGCCCCAGCCTGACGCTTTGCCCTCCCCACTCACACATTTAGAGTAGTGATGTCCTGGCACCCTGACAGCTCATGACAGGGTCCAGGCCCCACCATGCTGTCCCCCTACAGCGGGATGGACTACATGCAGCACTGTGCCACCTTGGTCTGGCCTTAACACCAAGAGAATGAAGACCCAGTTTCATGGCCCCTCACCTGCTGAATCCATCATAGCCCCTGCGGCCTCCCTCATACAGCTCAGGGTCAAAGCCATTTCCCTGGGAGGGCCTGATGCAGGTCTTGCTCCAGCTGCTGCTGCGCTCCAAAGCATCCAGTTGCCTCTGCACAGCTGCAGGGTTCTGACAGTAGTCACAGCCTTTGGAGCAGGCAGGCGGTGCATCCCCAAAGTACTTGGCAATGGCAGCATGGCGGCACCTGGAGGAGGTAATACAGTAGAGCTGAGGGGTGAGAAACACATCAGGCCAGTGTTCATTCACCTAATCCCTAATGTTGGCTTAGTGTCACAATCTGGCACCATGCTCAGCTTCTCCATACCTCACTTTGTGGAGCATCATACTATGTAATGCCACAAGGCATCATTTGATTCTGCCCATTGTATACTGGGGACAGGATCCCCAAGGTCCTATGACACATATGAGCCAGCCCCTCAAGAAGCAGGATCAGGTCTCCCCCTAACAAATAAACGTGGCTCTGAAGCTTGGCAGAGGTGACAGCAGTAAATGTGGCCGCCAAGAGGCGCTCTTCTCCCTGCAGTGCAGAACAAATATAACAAATATTCCCTCTACTGGAGCCTGCTCATCCATACAGTGGCCACCTGTCTGGCTTTGGGAAAGTGCTGGCATCCAAGCAGCTCAGCCAAAGGGTTGGCCCAACCCCCATGCCCTGACTCACTGGGGTTTTGTGTTCAGATTCAAAGAGTTCCATTGACTAAGGCGAGGGTCAGTTTCTCTCCCTGCAGTCGGGTTGGCTGGGTGGCATGACCAGCCAAATGTCAAATGCCCCAGTCGCTGGGCTCTGGAGCCCCACTCTGACAGCTAAGCCAGGAATCTAGAGTCAGCCAAGTACAGTGAGACCAGCTCTCACCAGGCAAGCAGACCACTCCCAGGACACCTAAGATTCTCAATTCCGCCCAAGAAACCTCTGGATGTTAAATAGCAGAAGGGCCTCCCCAGGGGCTGTCTGCTCACTTCAGTAGTCTGGTAGCTCCTCCATTATATACTTTCTTTCAAGGCAGAAGTGAAAGGGAGGGACCAGCCAGGGAGTGATCTGAAGGACAGGCTGGGGTGGTCAGGAGTCTGAGAGCGGGAGAGTTGCTCCATCCTCTCACCTCATAGATTGAAGCCAAGCCTCCTGGGGTCATCTCCAACAAGGAACCAGAACAGAAGCCTGTCAGCAGCTCACCCACAGCCCAGCCCACAGCCCAGCCCACAGGAGGGGAGGGGCGGGGAAGAAGAGGAATAAGAGAGGGAGCTCATCCTGAAGCTGACTCCTCGAGAGGAAAGGCCAGTGTAAAGTGTAGGACGGCTCCAACCTCCAACTGGGGCTCCCTCTGGCTTCCCCTCTCAACAGTAATTTGACACTTGAATCTCCAGGACAACCAACAACAAAAAAGCTGAGGCTGGGACAGCAGCTGGCTGTCAGCAGCAGGAGCTGGTGCTGAGGAGAGGTACTCAAGGGAGCAAGCAGCAGTGGAAGAGGACAGCAGCTTCCACAAAGAAAGTGTGAAGTGGTGGCCAAGGGCCTGGGAAGGCACAAGAGACTGCACTAGGACAACCCTTCTTGGCCCTGCAGTACCTGTTTCCAGGTAAGTGGTATAAGCCATGATAAAAAGGGTCAGGATGGGAAGCAAGTAGTGACAGTCTCGTACCCAAAGGGTGAGGGACCACAATCTACCATGAGCACGGAGAGGTCTTGAAGGATGTACTTTTCCCTAATAGGAAAATCACCATCCTGTGCACACCTAAGTGCTCTCTCCGTCCTCTAGGACCCTCCAGTAGAGGATGAGGGGCTCTTCCCAGAGCACGGACCTCCTGCTTGCTGTGCAGCAGAGGGGCCAAGGGCCTGCTTACTCTGCAAGTTGGTTTAAGCTTTTCCTATTCAACGGGCTTAAAAAAGGGATTTGGCTGTCCCACTGCCACATGCCTGCTGCGCCTCCATGTTTCCCAGGATTAGGACTAACCCTGTCTCTCCCTGCTACCCAGCTGCGAAGGGTAGCAGGACAGGTTATGCCTGGCCAGCTCAGAGCTGCCCAGGATGCAGCACCCCTGTGCACCTTGTTCCTGGACAAGAGCACCAGCTGACATTTCTTTCAGAGGTTCATCCTACTTGCTGCCAGATGTTATCAGCATAGGCACTGGGTGGAACCCTGGACCCATGTGGATCCCTAGGAGCCTTCAGACCTCCCTCTAAACACTGAACCAGGATCACACCTCATTCTAAACCCAGAGGCAGGCCTGAGTTGGTAGCAGGGAGGTTAACTCCTGTGACAGAGGGAGGAGGATTCAACTAATGCTGTGCTGAATGCAGCAGGTGTGGCCAAGTAAAGGAAAAGCACAGAGGTGCCACAGACAGGCAGCTGCCTGCACCCACCAGAAGTGGCCAGCATCCCTCCAGCAGTCCCTGAACTGGGATACAAAGGGAATGGCCAGCTTATGTCTATAGGCAAGCGTTGGTCCAGTTTCTAACAGTCACCAAAATAAAAGGTCTTCCTCCTGTCCTAGAAAGCTGCTGGGGCAGCAGAACCAAAAATTTAAGCACCTATTTTCTATTTCAAGGCCAAAGAGGGACTGCTCAGCCGGGTATGGTAGGTGGTGAAAACCTGTTACACACAGGAAGCTAAGGCAGCAAATTTGAAGCCAGCCGGTGCTACACTGTGAGTTCAAGGCCAGCCTGAACTATAATAGCGAGATCCTGTCTCAAAAACAAAACTAAGGGGGCTGGGGATTTAGCTCAGCAGCATAAGCACCTGCCTTGCAAATGCAGATCATGAGTTCTATCCCCAGTACCGATAAAAAAAAACAAAACTAAACTAAACTAAACTAAATGCTCAGCACACTGCACAGTGGGCATCTCTACCCTGTAGGCAGGCCTCTGAGTCCCACAAGTCTTGGTTATGCCTCATTTGAGCTGCTTCTCAAACAAGAAAAATGTCCAGTTGAGAGAGGGTGGCTAAGACTTACCGTGACAAAACAATAAGGGCACCGTAAGAAGCCCTCCAGGGTCATGAGCCATCAAGCACACTGTGTTTATCAGGCACAAACATACCGCCTGCTCTCTTTCACACAGGCAGGCCAGCATCAGACTATCAGTTGTTTGAGGAGGAAACAGGGAAGGCCTGGTACAGGAGCTGTCTGGCCTCAGGATGCCTGCTGCTCTATGGCAAGGCTCACTGTGCTGAGATGCCACACAAAGGAACGCTACCCAGTTCTTCTCGCTCTGCCAGCCTCTCCCTGCCCTGTTGTCTCTCCCCTTCTACGGGTTATGAGAAGGGCTGCATAGGCAGCCTCAGCAAAGGGAAGGGCCCAGTGGCTATGCAGGCTGCTCTTTCTGTCTGGTACAGAGGGAGCCACACTTGCTCCACCCACCTCTCAGGAACCTCTGCGGATCTGAGAAGTCTCCAGAGGTACGACTAAGCATGAGGTTGGGTGGGACTGTGAGTGCCCTGCTTCCCAGGCAGTAAGCATGGTCTTAGGAGGAGTTTGGTGAACCTGAGATAGAGAGACTAGGAAAAATACACAATTACTACTAGTAAGCACTTGGCTTCCCTGCCTTCCTCTCCCAAATCTGGGAGGGTATAAAGGGACAAAAGAGACCATCTCAGAACTCCTGATCTCCCCTGGCCACAGCTGGGAACATGCCACTGGGTCACCTGACAGCTGCTGGTTATATCAGGTACCTGGCCTTGCTTTAAATAGCCCACTGAGAAGCTGCCTGGAGACCTGTTGGAATGTGCCTCCTTCCCTTTTGGAGAACAAGACCCCCGCAGCCCCGACCAATCCCATAGTCTGTTCTGCTCCATCACAAGGCTAAACTTAAATGACAAAATATCAACAGCCAGGCAAAGAGGGCTCCCCTTCAGCTCTTTGGCAGTAAAAGAACCATGCTCAGCAGCCCCATTTCTGTGCACAATGCAGAGGGCAGTCCTGGGTCAGATTCCAGAGCTAGGTGAGGCTGGCCAAGACTAGCTAGCTAACTCGGCTCCCAGTCAACTACCTACAGGAACTCTAGGCTCAAAGCTACAAGACAGCCATTCCTCTGGACCAACCTCTTCGCAGAACAGAGCCAGGCTCGGTGAGCAAAGTCTGCAGCTTTCTGACTTCACAACTCCTAGAGGATGCTAATTGCCTTTGTAGCTAAAGCTCTGAATAAAGCTCAGCCTCTCCTACTCTGGAAACCCCAACCCAGATGGGCTCAGGGTTCCCACACCACTGCTTACTCATAAGCAGGTATCTCCCTTCCACTCACAATCTCTCCCAACATCTTGGTGTAGCACACAAGTGAAAAAGCGCTCCCTGTCTACCCTCCTCCTGCCCGTTTCCTCTGTTAAGGAGTATCTTTTTTGGGCTACATTATGCAACTTGGGCATCGTGCCAACCAGGCTAAAAAAGCCAGATTAAATATATGAAGCAGGAGGGCAGAAATGCAGCTCATTCCTGAACCACACATGAAATCATTCCTCTAAGAATGTGGCCCCTGGAAACCTGGGCATGAGGATAGCACAGAAGTCCCAGGACAGGAGAAGGCCCACTATCCTGTGCAAGCCTGCACCACAGTTCAACCCTCAGGACACGTTATCTGTCCGTTTGATGACAAGTACCATGTATGCATCCCAGAAAGCCTGATGGCAATGTGCTGGTAAAAGTGGGGCCTCAGCAGTGCCCTCAAGTGGGGCTGCTGCTCTGAATTACCTTACTGCTCAATGCCCAAACTGTCCTCCATCGAGAGGGAGTGGGGCAGTAGGAAGTGCCCTGCCTGGGCCCTTGTCCTGCCTTGTGATCACAGAGAAGTCACATACTCTCAAGCCTCAGCTGCCCAGTTTGTAAAAGGAAGGAGGTGGGAGTAGATAATCAGTAGCTACCCAGGATTCTTTTTTTACTGTGCAATATGGGGTCTAATGCTTAGAAAAGTGTACTGACTCTGGGACGAAATGTGGGAAAAGCTGAGAGGATGTAACTCAGAGCAACTCCAGCTTCTGATAAGAAATCATCTACTTTTCCACAGAGCCATCGCCTGCCTGTTACTCTCATTGTCAATGAAACTACAACTCCCCTTGTCTAGCTTGTTCACCTTCTTTCAAACACACACACCAGAAACATCCCAGGAATGAAGAACAGCTGACACTGCCAAAAGTGTTTAGGAAGGGCAAGGTGACAGCCTACAGAGCCAAGGATGCCAGGGCTGCTTCATCTCTCCAGGCCCTGGCCTGGGCTCACCCACAAGGTGTTCCAGGCCCCTTCCTGAAGCTATTTACTGCTTCCCACGTCTGCTATATGTCCAGCCTCCCAGCAGCTTGAAAGAGAGGCATTTCCTCTCTGGATGAAGCAGATGATTGAAACAGTATTCTGTGAGGGCCAGATGGAACTCTTGAACCCAGAGACAGACAATCCCATAGCAAAAACTGGATCAACACAATGCTGCCTCTTCTTCCTCATAGTAAAATAATGTATGAGTAAAGAAATTCAGAAGGTACATGCCAGCTGTCACATAGTTCCTACAGCACAATGAAGGGCAGAGGAGCAGCTGGGCCCTAAAGGACCACAAGTAGGTCTCACTGGAAATAGCCACTGCAATTGGGTGGGTGGCCTTATTGGGTAAAGATTCCTCATTATCAAAGGTGCTCAGTCAGAGGCTGTGGGACCACAGTGGGGCTGCTGGTACAGGGTAGAAGGCTTGATTAGATCACCTGTACGGCAATTCCAAACTTGCCATGCAGGCAGCAGCACCAGAAGAGACAGACCTTGTAGATTCAGCTATCTCAGGGAAACCAAAGCAGAAGGCACTGCCCACTCGGATGAGATAAGGACAAGGTGGCCATCATTAAAGCTAAAGATCTGATCCAACCCCTTGGCTACCTATCTTCTATTCCCACCCCCAAGATTAAAGCAACTGTTTTAGTGAACCAGTTCAGGCTGGATTGGTACAAGGTTTCCCCTGTTCCCTCTCTAAAGAAGCCCTGACTCTCTAGTGTTCACAAGAGAGATGGAAGGAGGAAACCCAGATACACAGTAGGCCCCCAACTCACACACTTAGCCTGGAGCTTGCCCTTAGGCCTTGTGAGCCCCTCTGGACAGAAAGAGATTCTCTGGGGTGGGGGTGGGAGAGACCACTCCTGGTCAGGCCAGAGGAACAGGTCCAGGTCAACAAGAGAAACTCCCAATGGCACTGAAACTCCTCATGGCACTGTGACAGAGGACCCTCTGGCAATAACTGGATCAATAGGGTGCTGCCTCTTCTTCATGGAAGAAGTAGGAGTAAAGAAGTGTGGGAGGGGGAGAGGCAGTGGCAGTGGATACCTGTACTCTCAGTTACATAAGATAGCAAGTTGGAGATCAGCCTGGGCAATTTAGCAAGATACTGTCTTAAAATGAAAGGCACCAGCTATCACGGCTTTCTTCATGGTAGCCCGCTACTCTTTCCCAGCCCAAGCTCCCTTTGCAGAGCCAGTTTTTTTCTCAATCTTCAGTTTTATTTTCTCAAATAAATAGGGGCCTATGCTTTTTGAAATAGACTAAAATAAATAAAAAGTGGCAGGGATGTAGCTCAGGGTTATAACACTCTGGATTCAATCCCAGACAGGACAGGACTCTGGGTTCAATCCCTAATATTAAAAGGGGGGGGGGTTGGTGGGAGAGTGGGTTGCCCCAAGAGATCCAAACTCATATCCCCAAAGCCAGGAGCACCTCTTACCCATCACTTTTTACCTACTGCTGATCTTAATCAGAGCTCCCCTACCCCAAGCAACCTGATCCTCCAGCCCCTGTATTCATCAAAGGATCAAAGGAAGCACACCGGGCTGAAATCCTGGAGCTGTCTTCACAGCCTGAGGCCATCTAGCAAGAGCCCCTGAATGACCCAGAGCCCAGTAAGGGTGCTGTGTCAGCAGAGGCACCCTGCCCAAACCTGGCCATGCTGTCTTAAGACAAAAGAACGTAACAGCCAAGTTGTTCCACCTGTGGTCTGGAACCTTCACCAAGCTTAGCCTTGGCTGGCAGCCCCTCCAGGCTCCCAATGTCCCCCTCACCCTCCACTTCCCTCAACCTGGGCAGTGCTGGCTAGGTGCAGGCTGAGGGCTGCTACTGAGCACATAAACCCTAAGACTTCCTGCCTCCTCAGAACCACCAGGGGCACTTGGAGTGAACCTGATAAACCCGTTTTGCAGGGTGCCGTGGGAGAGGGTGGCTTGCCGGTGCTGCCTCTCACTCTAGATGTTCTTTCTGCCTCGGAACAGAGCTGGAGCTCTGGCAGGAGCACACACAGAATGGCAGCCGAAGACTTTGTACAGGAGATGCACTCTGTGGGCGAGAGGCTGCTGATGAAGCTTCAAGGGCTGTCGCAGGCTGAGCCTGTGGAGCTGGTGGCCTTCTCCATCATCATCCTTTTCACAGGCAAGTGGGGCACTCAGATTCTCCCCAACACCCACCCCATGGCTCTACAGCATCCTGGAGAGACTACACCTTTTAGAGCTTTCAGTGATACAAACAGCCTGCTGCAGCATGTGTGCCATAGGTTCACCACCACTAGGTTAGACCATGGTGCTGGCTCGGGTGTTTGTGGGATTGGCAGGTGTGCCCATATGAGGAAGAAAAACAGGGATCCCTCAAGGGATTTTTCCACATCCTCTGACACTGCCCACATGAAGGGTAATGCTGGGAACTGGACCCAGGAGCACTGTCAGATGTTAATCTGGGGATGAAAGGAGCCAAGCTTGGGCAGTAAAGGAGACAGCGGGGAGGTCAGGGCCTGGGGCTATGAGAGAAATGGTCAGTGTTCCCCATCAGACTCTCAAGTCCTTCTGACCACTAAACTAGACTTGGGGAGAAGACCCTAGCACACCTCTAGGGGGGCTTCTTTGCAAGGAGGATAGGCATCCTTTCACTTCGAGTGTCTGAAGTGCCCACACTCTCCCATCCTACAGCCACTGTTCTGTTGCTGTTGCTGATAGCCTGTAGTTGCTGCTGTGTGCACTGCTGTTGCCCTGAGCAGAGAGGCAGGAAAGTCCAAGTGCGGCCCATGACCTCGCCATGAGGGATGGTGGAGAAACCAGAAGACAAGCTGGAAACCACCAGAGCCATGACACAGGCTGTCAGCCTGAGCCTGCGCTTCTTATTCCTGTGGATGAGGATACCCTAGCCTCAGCTCTGGTCCTGTCCAGGTGCCAGGACACTGGTACGTGAAGCTTTATCAAGAAAATAAGGGCTGGTATAGGCCCTTCACCTGCCAGTGGACACTGAACGCTGAGGACGAGTTGACTGTTTCAGAATCAGTAAGCCATCTAAACTTTTTACAAAACAAGGATGCAGGGATCTTCATTCTTTGATGGGAAACAGCCCACAATGTGGGCAGCTAATTCTGCTAATCCATGCCAGAGAAGAGCAAGCCAATCACAGAGATTTTATCCAGCAGTTACAGGATTCTATGTTCCCTGACTGGGTGAACATGTCAGTATTCTAGCTTAGTACTTGCCTGTTTATTTCCAAGTAAAAGCTTTTTTCAGTTTTGTGTTTCTGAGGTTGGGCTGGGCTCTTTGCAACAGGAGGGCAGTGCCAGAATTTTAGGGTGTGGTCAGTGACTGTTCTTTACAGGCCATAGCTCTTCTTGTGGCCATGAAAGTTGGAAAATCACACAGGGAGGAATGCCATGCAAGCAGCAATGCCATGAAACCAGTGGGGGAGCACAAAACATTCCTGTCATGCATAGCTGTTAACACAAACTAGCTGCTGGATCTCCACTCTGCTGAGTGATGGAAGCTGTTTGCCTCAGGGCAGAGGCTAAGCCCATAACTTCTACTTGCATACCCCAAACTAGCAGGCTCAGGCCACAGGATCTTCCCACACTTCTGAAGCCAAAGAAGAAAGATTAGCTCTAGATCATCTATAACTTGCATCCTGCACCTCTGGTCCATTTGTATGATGACTGGGCTCACTTACACCTACCTCTGCCACTTAGCAGCTGTATACTCAACCTTCCTGAGTTTAGGTCTTTTCCCTAGTGAAATGGGCTAATCCTGGTACTTGCTTCCTGGGGGTATCTTGTGAGGATAAACTAAGGCAACCTATATCTAGCAGTTAGCATAGTTCCAGGCATGTCCCAAGAGCTCCATAAGGATGAACTGTCATTATTTGTTCCTTTAACAATGGATCAACCCAGAGCACTATGGACCCATTTTAAAGAATGTTTCTACTAAAATGCAACCTCCTCTGGCCTCCCACCCTTCAGCTTTCTTTTCACGGCAGAGCTACAAACTCAAGAAATGGAGAAGTGGAGGCACACATATGTGAGGTTCTATACACACCACTGCGGCTAGGACACAGGATTCTGTTGGGCCTTCCTTCTAACTGTTCAGAGCTATCATAACAGGATCTATAACTTTTCACATGCTTCTGCCAGCTGCATCTGCACAGCACATTTTCTAGTTTTTAGAGAGCACAGCCTCATCTACCCTGAAAACAAGACAAGGAGACAGGATGCCAGAATTTGCCATCTTCAGTTGGCAATCCAGGTCATGCAGACAGGCACAAACAGGTTTTACTTCCTGGTGTTCATGGACTCTCCTGACCGGTCTCAGAGAGGAAGTGTTTGGACATAAAAAATAAAAAAAGAAGAAACCTAAGAACTACCTGTCCTCATTCCCATCCAAAGAATGGGATCTAGAATAATAAAAACAACAACAATGACAATGACAATAAAGACAGCTAAAATTCACAGAGGGCCCACACATGCCCTGGCATTGTCTTAAGCATTTTTTTTTCATTTAATCATCACAGTACTTCACTGCTGTAGATACTATTATTATCCTCACTTAGACAAGAGGAAATTAAATCTTAGTGACACTAGGTGATCTGTCCAAGTTTGGCTACCTGAAAAGTGGCAGAGCCAGTCTCTGGGTCCAGTATTTCTGGCTCTAGAGCCCCTGCTCACCACACCCAGTGCACTAATGCTTCCCGGGTACAGGATAGATAAGGTTCTGGTTCTATTAACAGCTCTATTAACCAACCTTACATCCCAGCACCCACACCAAAACTGTCCCAAGTTGCCTCCATGAGAGTGGGTGGGACGAACATGTACAAGCTGGGGCGGTGCCCAACTAGGTGCCAGAAGAAAAACCCAGGCACAGTGGGAGGGACAGGAAGGCCTGCATTTTTTTTTTTTTTTTGGTCTTTTTCCTTTTTATCGGTACCGGGGATCGAACTCACGACTGCCTGCTTGCAAGGCAGGCGCTTATGCCGCTGAGCTAAATCTCCAGCCCCAGGCCTACATTTTTCACATGCAGCACCACTTGCTATAGGTTGAAGTCCTCAGTTCATGTGCTGCTCCAGCCCAGTTCCCTCCTGGCTCTTCCTCAAGCAAGGCTTCACTGGCATCAAGAATGGCCCTCCAGGTTGGAGATTTAGCTCAGCAAGCATGAGGTTGCCAGTTTGATTCCCGATACAAAAAAAAATGGCCCTCTAAGACAAGCCCGGTAGGCACACCTGTGATCACAGCACTTGGGAGGCTAAGGCAGGAGAACCATGAGTTAAAGGCTAGCCTGGGCTACACAGCAAGACACGGTTCTCAAGACACCTAAAACTGAAATCAAAACAAAATAAACAACAAAAAAGGTCCTCCTTTACGGTAGCTGAGGCCAAGACTCATTGCTAGAAAAGATTTTAGATTTTAGTTCCCAGTCCAGTTGTTGAGAGGTGGGTACCATGGACAGGCCTGGGGACAGAAAGGCTAACTAAGTAGCCAGTTCATTTGCACTTTCCTGTTCCATGGCAGGCAGTACCTAACTGATAGGTTCAAAGAAACTGTCCCTGCCCACAACTGACTTGCTCCTCCCTGCACTACAGGCCTCCCTCCACATATATCAAGGCTACTCAGAGAAACAGATACTCTGACCCAACAGTAGCCAGGCACATTTCCTGGATGTAGAGCCTCTAATGTGGGTCTTCCCTGAGGAAGATGGAGTAGGGAAAGAGGCAGCTATCTCCTACTGTGGTAAAAATAAACAGAAGGGTGCTTTGGGCCTAGGATGCTTGAAGATTGCTAATGGCCAAAGAAAGAATGGGCAGCCTAAGGCCTGGAAAATATCCAACCAGCTCTGGACACCAATTCTGCACTGCCCCATACCATCCTAGACCAAGCCACTAGCAGTGTTTGCAAGATACAATGTACGCAGCCTAAGTGGTCTCCATAGCAGTCTTACCAGCCTCCTCACACCACCTCCCCTGTGGCCTCTGCTGCACCAGTGTCTGCTCTCAGTTCCTCAAAAGGGTTGCCCTCCACACTGAAGATCTGTTTGTTTTAATGCCTACACATTATACTTATTACAGACTACAATAAAACCACTGAGACAAAAAATCTCATTAGGAAAATCTGACTGAGAACAGAAAAAGTTTTGTCCTCAATCTGTTTGCTTAAATGTTAGTATTCTGAAGCAACCTATAATAAAACTCATAATAGGGCTGGGGATTTAGCCTAGCAGCATAAACGCCTGCCTTGCAAGCAGGCAGTTGTGAGTTCAATCCCTGGTACCCATTAAAAAAAAAAAAGTATAATAAAACTCATAATGACACAATGGGCAGCACAAATGGCAACACAACTGTGAGGCCAAGTTAATTGTGTCCTTAAATTCCTCTCTCCGTGGCCCTGTGCAGTGCTGTGGAACGTTACCCCTGAATGTCAGGTAAGGACGCCCCACTCCTTGCAGCTCTAGTTTTGCATCCCTTCCGAACAGAGGGATTCTCAGCACACAGACAGGTTCTACCACCCGTACCAACAGCATCTTCTGCCTTCCCCACCATCCCATGCTCTTTACTGTGATCCTGAGAGCAGAATTATCCACTGGGGGACACCAGTTCACTGAAAAAGCCAGTTAGAGCAACTTTCACGTGTATGGCACACATTCGATACGCATCTCATTTTAAACTGAAACAGACTGCACAATGCCTGGCCAGCCTTTCTGCAGTAAGGCCAAGGTCTTCTGTCTGAGTGTGAGCCTGCTATAATATTGACTTTGCACTTATGGTTTCACTAGAGCACAACAAAAACTTAAAAGACATTTGCAAAGGGGTCTGAGTGTGGTGTAGTGCCACTAGCATTTTACAAAATATCTGCTTTTCTTTTGACAGAAATATGAGCGACTCCAAGTGGTCACAGTGTTTAAGGAACAACTTACTGTCTCCTCTCATCCAGAGGTACAGCAAGTCTCAGCACTCAGACCTTAAGCCTGAGTTCAAATCAACTCAGATACCTATCAGCTGTAGACCTTAAGTGACTAAGCCATTCTGTGCCTGTTCCTATTCGTAAAATTGGTGTTTCAGGTATCACTGCTTCATTTTTTAATACCATGTTACATTCAATTATGTAATTATAACAAGTACAAAAAAAAGTATAGCAAGAGTTTGGGAATTGACTTTTTTTTTTTTTTTTGTCTTTTTCGTTTTTATTGGTACCAGGGATCGAACTCACGACTGCCTGCTTGCAAAGCAGGCGCTTATGCCGCTGAGCTAAATCCCCAGCCCCTGGGAACTGACTCTTGATAAGCCCTGACTTAACTGATAAGAGAAGCAGTACCAAGGTGTGCCGGAAGCCAGCCTCTTGGCTGCTGCCTTTGGCATGCCAGAGATGTTAGCAAGTTTTACACCAGGAAACTGAAAGCAGGCCACAGGTCAATTCAAGCCTCAACAGTTAACAACCCTCTACTAGCCCAGCATGGTGGCTCATGCCTGTAATCCCAGCATTGGGGAGCCTGAGACAGGAGGATCATTGCGAAGTTTGAGGCCAGCCTGGGCTACAAAGTGAGCTCAAGGTCAGCCTGAACTGCATAGCAAGACCCTATCTCAAAAAGACAAAAAAAAAAAAAAAAAAAAAAAAAAAACCCACTCTACTAAGCCAGGTGCGATGGCACCTTCATCACAGCACTTTGCAGGGCTGAAGCAGAAGGATTACAAATTCAACGCCAGCCTGAGGGCCACAGTGAGATCCTGTTCCAAAAAATAAAAACGAAATTGGGGATGGTGTTGCACACCCATTATCCCAGCACTCAGGTAGTTGAGGTAGATCAGCCTGGGCTCCACAGTTATTTCAAGGCCAGCCTGTACTACATAGGGAGAGTATATCTCAAAACAAAAAAAGGAAGGAAGGAAGGAGACAGGAAGGCAGCGGGCAGATGCAGCTCACTGTAAAGGCTCTGGTTCAATCCTAAAGCAGCAGAAAAAAATAAAAATAAAAGGACAGTTCTTCACTGAGCTTTCTCATCATCTACCACCAGTCTCCCCTGGCTGAATCTGGAGATCCTAAGAACTGATACAAGCAGTATGAGTGGGACACGGGACCTTTGTAACAGCTCCCAGATGACCGTAACAAGCAGACCTGAGGACCTGTAGGCTCGAAAGCAAGCTCTCAGAGGACAAGCTCCTTCTCTTGTCCCATGACTAGTCAAATGCCTATCGTCCCTGGCCACAGCAGGGCCACACATCCTGGTTTAAACGAGTCAGTGATGGCCACCAGGTTTCAAGCACAGCGCATGCTCCACTGCCCTTCCTAGCCTCCCCACAGCACCAGTGCATAGGAACCAACTCACAGCAGCTGAGATCAAGCCTCAGAGGTGGGAAACACCAGCCTCAATAGTGATAAACGTGTCTAACCAGAAACGAGGTCCAGGAAGCACCAGTCAGAGCTAGAACTGTTAATCATTCACCCTACACTACAGGAAATGATGCCTTTGTGGCAGTACCAGCCCCTAGGCTTCCCAAGTTCTGGGCAGCTTCTCTCAATGGTCAGATTATACAGAGCCCAAGCTCCAGCTGAACAGAAATGAGGTAGGTAGGCAGCCCTGCACACAGCCCTTGGATCCAATCTTTCTCTATTTCACACCAAGTTTGATTTCTCTCAGGGAGGACTCTTTAACATGTGCCTCAAATGCCCCCACACTGACATCACAAAGGGACAATAGGAAGCTGAAGGGTGGTTGCCTGGTACCTAACCTGCTCCACCTTTGTTTGCTCTGGAGTGAGCAATGGTCAGGGCCACCTCACAGTCCCAATACTGTTTCCTCCCAACAGTTGCTTCTTTGAGTCAGGGTGTATTTCTGGTCTCCTGGCAGCCCCTTCAGCCTGGGCCTCCCAACCACAGGGCCTGAAGGACAACTCTAATTTGCCCCGCAGGACACAGGACTGCTAGCAGCAAAATCAGGTAATGATGTCTTCCTTCTTCCCTGTATTCCTATCAAATGGCCCCAGCCCATGACCCGCCTATACCAGCTCTGTCTCCACAACAGTTGCCCTTTTGTTTTCAGGGGCCTTCAGGAACATTTACTGAAGTCCCAGCTACTCCTAAACTACCATCCTTTTTATTTACTTCTTTTTTGCTTTTTGTCTCTCTCCCTCTACTTTATGGCAGTGGAAATTTTTAGTATGAGAGAGCATGAAACTACATCCCTAAACCACCACTCCCTGCTTTTTTAAATTTTAAGACAGGGTCTCACTGAGTTGCCCAAGGCTAGGCTCAGACATTGGTCCTCTGCCTCAGCCTCCCAAATAACTGAGATGTACCACCATACTGGCCATTTGTTTTGCTTTTGAAATGAGGGTCTCCCTGTTATCTCTGTTTTGTCTTTGAAATGGGGGTCTCTCTATTACCCAGGCTGGCCTTAAATTCCTGGACTCAGTGATCTTCCTGCTCAACCTTCCAAGTAGCTAGGTCTGCAGGTATGAGCCACCAGTATAGCCACTAACCTCTCAAAATGCCTCCCAGTCAATAGCTGGGGCAGGAAAAGTAGGGAGGATCTACAGTAACGCTTTTGAGTGAGCTCAGGAGCAGGATTCCTAGATCCAGACCACGCACTATACAAGAAAGAATTAGACTCCAGAGGAATCTGGAATGGAGACTGGACACAGCCTCCAGGAAGAAGGCAGGCCTATGATCTAAGCACTCAGGAGACTGAGACAGGGAAATAACCATGAGTTCAAGCAGCCTCAGCTAGTAAGCTACATAGTAAGTTCAAGGTCTTCTTGAACTGCCTAGTGAGACCCTGTCTCAAAAGAACAAAAACAAAGAAGAAAGAATGCTGGATCCTCTCTAGAAAACTACACATGTTGCCTTGAGACTTAGAAGCCAAAGGCTCATTGCTCTCTCAGTGTCCACTAGCCAGAGAGATAGCAAAATATTCACTGAGAGTGCCACAGGTATCAAGGTTGGGGGGAGTAGAGGGCAGCACCTAGGACCAGCTCTTGAGGGCTCAAGGCCTTGCACTCAAGACCTCTGTCTCCTCTTTTCCAGGGTTACATGGATTCAACATTATTCCAGCAGGATATATGGCACGATGAGCTTTGGGACAAGCCCTGGGATGTGGCTGGCCTGATAGTGATTGGCACATTCATCTCTACAGTCCTGTTTTTCATCTTGTTTGCTGTTACATTTGGGTTGCTCTTTCCAAGGGAAAGGATCAGGAGTGATGAGCAGTGATCTGATTTTCGGGGGGCTGAGAAGGCAGCAGGTGAGGGGGACTGACTAGCTCACCCTGTACTGGAAGTGGGCCCCACCACAGTCCCCTCTGGTTCAGGAGCTAAACCCTGGTGTCTTTCTTTTTTCTTTTTTCCTCATCAGGGAAGAGAGCCTGATCAGATAATGGACCTGGCATAGGGCTGGTCAGATAGCAGGATGGGGAGGTGGGTTTGATACAGATCCTGGGACTGCTACCATATATGCCATCCAAACCATGCAGCCATGTGGGAGAGGGCCTTGCCTCTGCCTCATGCTAACAAGTTCTCCTCACCGGTTCCCAGCCCAGCCAGCGACTTTGTAAGTCTTTGGCAGAAGAGGACACAAAATAATCAGATGAAGTAAAAATTCCTTTTCAAATCTGCTAACTTGTGAGAGCTCATTTTCTGTCTAGACATGGCCGCCAGAACCAGTTTACCTAGCAAACCTTCACTGGGGCCTGCAAGTACCCTTGTGACCTGGCACTGCCTATCTCACCAGCTATCTGGCATATGTCCCTTGGTTCTCAGTATGACTGTCAGTTTCTAAATATGCCATGTTCTCTCCTGCCACAGGGCCTTTACACATGATATTCCCTTGGCCCAGGATGGTGTCTCTCACACTACACCTCACTCCTCAGCCTAGTTAATGCTTCCTCATTCTTCAGACCCCAGATAAACCTGCCTTCTTCAGGTGAATCCTCCCTGACCCTCTCGGTTAGAATAGGGCCATCTGTATAGCACAATCTCAAAATATCATATACCTTTCCTTCAAAGCCCTCTCAAGAAGAACTGTACTGTTTTTTCTGTTTTGTTTTGTTTTGTTTTGTTTTGTTTTTTCTTTGAGATAAGTTCTTACTGTGTAGCTCAGGTTGGCCTTCAGTCCACTTTGGAGCCCACATTGGCCTCGAATTCAAAGTGATCCTTCTGCCTCAAACTCCCAAATGCTAGGATTACAGGCATACACCATCATGCCCGGCTATACGTTTTTTTATTATTATCATTCACTAAGCATCTGTCTCTCCCAGGGGTCTCTTTCTGCTCACCACTATTTCCATGGTCAGTGTACCTGGTACAGAGTAGACATTAGTCTGTATTTGTTAGCTGTATAAATGAACAGATGAGCACATGAACACATAAATGAGTAACAGGAGGATGTTAGCACTGGTGGGCTCCTCCACCCAGAGTTCCCGGCAACAATTCAACCCAGGTCTAAACAGAACTGCTCTTGCATCTCAAAATGCCCAGGCCACTTGGGAAGAGGTTGCTTGAAGCCTAAAAACTATTCTCACAATACTTCAAGGCAAAAAGCCCTGTTGTAAAAATGCTTTTTCATGGATGCTGCCCAAAGACAGTAGCTATGTGCAGAGACAAATAAAAACCACTGTGTCCTCATTTCTAACGGATCTAAAGTACTTTTTTTCTTGGTTTCAGACCCATCCCCTATACTCCAGTTCCATGTCCTGACATCTGAACCCCTACAAACTGTTCCTTTTAGAAATGTACCCATCTCAGCCAAGCTCACCCCACTGACCTCAATGCCAGGTGTCAGCCCTAAGGGACAGCTGGCAGGAACAGCTGTCTCAACCTCAAACTCCAACCAGTACTATTCTTAGAAAATAAGCAAATATCTGATGGAGAAGGACTTTTTCTTCATACTATGTGCCATTTACACAGTAATGAAACATTCTCTTTCAAGTTAGGCATGGTACATGCCTATACTCCAAGCACTCAGAAGTCTAAGGCAGAAGGATAGCCACAAATTTAAGGCTAGCTTGGGCTACATAATGAGTTCAAGACCAGCTTAAAGTACACAGTGAGACCTTATCTCAAAAATCAAAACAAAATAAAAAAAGTCTCTAGGAGTCCTGGAGTTCAGAACTTTCACACACTGCCAACAAGATAGGAGGCATGAGGTTGCACACAGGGCAGGGGGAGGCCCCAGCTGGCCCACTGATGTGTTAAGAAGTCCTAGTTCCTTGGAATGGGACAGAAGAAATAAAAAGCAGAAGCCCCAGGAAGGAGTCATGCCCTTGCCTGACAAGCTCTGATCCTCCAGAGTCTCAAATGCAGCCCCAGACCAGAAACTACAGGATTTTTCCCAGGAGTGGAAACTCTTGACAATTAACAAGGACACTTGGTCCTTTCATTCTTCACCAGAAATGAGAGCTCTGCTCAAGCAGTCTGAAAAGGTCAAATTTAGCAGCTCCCTGTTCCAGGGCCCTGTAAAGGGCTCTGGTGGTGGCAATAACCATAGGTAAAAGGGCCTGGCACTACAGCCCACCACTTTTGGTGGGTGTAGTCCTACCACAGAGGCCAAATTAGAAATGGTTGAACCAAACTCATCAGTGAGTAGGAGGGAGATGCAAACCCAAAAATAGGACCCAAATAAGTGCCTCCATGGTTTCCAAAGAAGGACCCAGAACATCTGTCAAACACTAGTACTATGTACATACCCAGAACCCTGCTCCAAAACACAAGTCTTGGGGTAGAGGCAGAGTTCTAGTAGAGCACTTGCCTAGCATGTAAAGGGTCTTGGGTTCTATCCACAGCACCAAAAAATAATCTAGTCTTGAAAAAACCAAGACGCAGCACTCGAGAGGCTGAGGCAGGAAGATCGTTGCAAGTTCGAGACCAGCCTAGGCTACAAAGTGAGCTCAAGGCCAGCCTGAACTGCATAGAGAGACCCTGTTTCAAAAGGACAAAAAAAAAAAAAAAAAAAAAAAACCCAAGATGCTTCAAGTATATGAAATGAATACTACACATGCAAATCAAGAGCTCAAAGGTTAGTAGCTTTTGTCTACTATGAGCTCCTGACTGGAGTCGAGTTTATTCATCTTTAAGTCTAGAGCACTCAGTTGTGCCCATCTCCTCCCAGGATTGTTACACGTGATTGGATGAATCTGAGTGCTCTATAGCCCAAAGTATACCGAGTCCTCCTGGGTGTCCCTTACAGAGTACCCATGATTCCCTGTGTCCAGCCACAATCTGACTCTCCCTGAGCAGCCACCAGGCTCTTTCCATAGCCTTTGTACCACTGCCACAGAGGCAGACAAGAGAGCTAAGTGGTTCCATGAGGGCAGGCTAAGATTTTGTTAAAAATGTTGATTTTTCCAAAGCAATTGGTGCCGCTGCCCAAGAGGTAACTGGGTCACACATTTCCGTTTGGACCCAGAGTTAGAATGAGTAACACTCAAGTGAACCCAGAAGTACCAGCTCACAGGCACATAATGACCACAGGGCCAATGGCTCAGAGCTGGCCACTGGGAACATTACTTGAGAGTAAGTCACTCATGAGGCCAGCCATCACAGAAAAGTGTTGAGTGGGAGGATGGAGACCACTCAAAATGCTAAACAAATCCTCACACTGCCAGAATTTCAGGGGTCTAAAGAAGACAGATTGACTTCCAGCCTCCCCACACAATGACCCATTGCATGTAGGGGTCCCTTAGTACTCCAAGGGCTATCTTATGGTAGCAGCTTAAGTAATGGTGTGCTGGGTGAAGAAATGATCTGACACTTTACTCCACTTTCAAAATAAGACTTACCCCTGTGCTTCACAGAAGGTCACCAGGGCATCGAAGGCCAAAAGTGTGGCTTTATCAAAAGATTTGTTCCCTCTTTTTTCCTGGAGAGGGACAATGAATGATCACTTAGCAAGTCTTATAGATTCGCACTAAACTTGTTCCCACAAAATGCAGCGACATTGGACAGTAATAAATTCATTTACTAAACAGTGCCTTCAAACCTAACTATACATCAAAATCCCCAGCTTGGTTTTGAAAGTTTTTATTTCCAAAAATCTCCTTAAAGTTATTCTCATGCAAAGGACCTTGGTTAATCATTCACAAAATACTATGATATGACCTAATTTCATAATAGTAAATATACAAGTGAGTACTGTATCCTTACAGATGTATATACATGGGAGGATATACACTAAAATGTTACAGTGATTATCTCTGAGCTTTGGGTATGCGTCACTGGCCTTTATTTGCCAAAATCTCCTTTTAAAAAAATGCAACAGGGCTGGGGATTTAGCTCAGTGGCACAAGCGCCTGCCTAACAGGCACAAGGTCATGAGTTTGATCCCAGTTAAAAAAAAAAAAAAAAGACAACAGACACTGCGGAAATATTATTTACTGTCTTTCTGCATTTAAAAAGTGACTCAAGCCAGTAGTCATCACAGTACATGCCTGTAATCCCAGCAATTCAGAAGGCTGAGGTGGGAAGATTGTAAATTCAAGGCCAGCCCAGGCAATTTTTTTATTTGTTTTGGGTACCAGGGATCAAACTCATGATCTTATGCTTGCCATGCAGGCACTGTGCCACTGAGCTATATCCCCAGCCCAGCCAGGCAATTTAACAAGACCTTGCCCACAAAATACAATAAAAAAGATTGGAAATATAGCCCAGCACTTCCTAGATTCAATTCCCAGTACAACACACACACAGATACCCCTCTATTCCCCTCTAACACTCAAAAATACACATATGTCCTCTACCACCATCTCCCAACATTTGTAAGCTGCAACTTCATGTTAAAACATTTTCCTCATCATGGTTATGTCTTCATTGCTTCCAGTTGTACCACAATTACATTTTCTATGAGCACATCCTCTCTTGTACAACTTTGTTTTTTTTTTTTTCCTCCTGGTACCAGGGATCGAACTCATGACCACCTGCTTGCAAGGCAGGTGCTTATGCCACTGAGCTAAATCCCAGTCCCTCTTGTACAACTTTGTTTTTCTCATTTACTTAGATTTTCAGGGAGCCAGGGGTTTAGCTCAGTGGCACAATGGAGAAAACGGATGTTCTCCTGATTCTCAATCCTTCCTAGATTACCTGTATTCTCTCCACAGACATTTTCTATATGTTCATGTCATGCGATCTGAAATTGTCTCAATGGTCAATCCAGTGTCCATTGTTGTAATTCACTGTGTTAGCAAATCCCAAATAAATATCTTTTTTTCAATCATCCTACCAAAATCATCTCTCTGTCTACCTTAAAACTGAGATCAAAGAGACAATAACATTCCTTTAAGTCAAGGCAAACTATCATTTCTGGTCCACAAAACTCTTCTTCATTTCCAGAATCCTCCTTCATTTCCACTTCTCTCCCCACTCATCACTTACTCCTCACTTTATAAAGGAAATTTTAAAATTCATAAGGCTGACACTATGTGGAGGATGGGACAGGCAGGCCCAGCCTGTTTAGATCAACCAGCCTTGGCATTCCAACACCAGCTGCAACTTGTAAAAGACATAGCTCGAAAGTACATTTCGTTGTGCTAACTAGCTTCAAGGAGAGACTGCCTCAGTTAAAGACAATGATTGATTCTACCCATTCATCCAACCCCTAATCTTTTAAGAAATATTCTTCAGGGGCCAGGGATTTAGCTTAGTGGCATAAGCACCTGCCTGGCAAATGCTAGGTCATGAGTTCAATCCCTGATACAAAAAGAAAAAAGAAATATTCTTCAGCCTAGAACAAATCTGCCTGACAATATATTATCCATTCTATGTAACCAATTATAAAATAACCCGCTATTAGCCTTTCATACGTATTCCCTGCCTAAAACATATGTAAGTATCTGTTTAATGCCAAGGCAGGGCTGGCAATTTGGAACTGTTTCTCCAAGTCCACTAGCGTAATAGAGTTACTACCTTCCAACTCCTTGGCACCTGCATGTCTTCCATCTGATTTGGTCCTAGTTTTTCTACAACAACTCAACAACTATTTATTAAGCACTAGTTACATCCCTAACACTGATCTAGACATTACAGACACAGGAAACAAAAGGTCTCTATTCATGGAGCTTGCATTTCAATAAAAGAGACAAAGAATAAGCAAATATACAATGTCAAATAGTAATAAACATAAATTTTTTAAAAATACAATAGGATCCTTCCTCAGCCCTCACTTATACCTCTCATCCCATAATGAGAATGTACCATGATTTCTTCACTCACTTCTCATAGACATCAAGCTTATTTATTTCCCCTGACCATAAACATTCTTCCAAACAATTCCTCAACATAAACTTATACATTGTGACTTTTATTTCATGAAGTTTGATCTCAAAAATAAGATATCTGGACCAAAATACACCTACATTTTAAAATGTAATAGGGGGGGGCTGGGGATTTAGCTCAGCGGCATAAGCACCTGCCTTGCAAGCAGGCGGTCGTGAGTTCGATCCCTGGTACCGGTAAAAATGAAAAAGACAAAAAAAAAAAAAAAAAAAAAAAAAAAATGTAATAGGGGGGCTGGGGGTTTAGCTCAGCGGCATAAGCACCTGCCTTGCAAGCACGCGGTCGTGAGTTCGATCCCCGGTACCGATAAAAATGAAAAAGACAAAAAAAAAAAATAAATAAATAAATAAAATAAAATAAAATGTAATAGGGAGCTGGGGACACAGTTTAGTGGTGGAGCATTTGCATAGCATGTTTGAAACACTGAGTTCTATATCCACCACTACAAAAAATAATAATTTTTAAAAATGGGGTAGAAGGTATTATCTGGGTATGGTGGGGCATGCCCATAATCCCAGCACTTGGGAGGTTAAAGCAGGAGGATCACTGTGAGTTCAAGGCCAGCCTGGGCTACATAGTGAAATCCTGTCTTCAAATTTTTTAAAAATTTTTTTTCAAAAGTTATTAAATTGGTTCTTGCCTTCCTTAAAATAATAGCAACACTTCATGTTTCTCCTGACAAAATGCTAGAGGTTGTTCACATGCACACCAAAGCATTGTACTTTAATGTGCATTTATCTGATTACTATTAACTACAGCATTTTCAACATGCATTAAGATAAGGTTTTTTTGTTGTTTTTTTCTTGGGGTACTAGGGACTGACCCTGGAAAACACTAAACTACAATCTCTATCCCTTAAAATTTTTCTTTTTAAATTTTGAGACAAGGCCTCCCTTACTTAGTTACCCAGGCTGACCTTTAACTTGTGATCCTCCTATCTCTGCAGTGGCTAGGATTCCAGGTATGCATCTATGCACCTGCCATGGGAGTGCTCTTGTCATATTCTCTGCTTCTCATATCCTTTGGTTTTTCTCGTCAATTGGTAGGTCTTTGTTCTCAAGTACATTAAAATATTTCTCTAAAACTCTATTTTTTTGTTTTTTATTAGTTTTATCATATAGTTTTTCATAAGCACATAATTTGTACATATTAAAACTTTTTAATATAGTAAAAGATTTCTAGCTGAGTGTGGTCACAGCAAGAGGATCATCATGAGTTGGAGACCAGCCTGGGCTACCTAGTGAGTTCAAGGCCAGTCTGAACTATATGGGAAGACTCAATCTCAAAAAAAACAATATTGAGCCAGGCGTGGTGGCTCATGCCTGTAATCCAGCATTTGGGAGGCTGAGGCAGGAGGATCCTCCTGCAAGTTCAAGACCAGCCTGGGCTATGAAATGAGTGCGAGTCCAGCCTGAACTGCAAAGCAAGACCATGTCTCAAAACACACACACACACACACACACACACACACACACACACACAAATATATATATATATATGTGTGCATATATATATATAATAAAAATAACATATTGGTTTGGGAATAAAGCTTAGTGGTAGAAGCGCCTGAGTGGCAAGCACAAAGTCCTGAGTTCCATTCCCAGTACCAAAAAATAAAATAAAATGAAGTAACAATAATACAACATAACAAATATAACATAAAATATTTCTTTTTTAAATAGAACTTTCTGGGCTGGGGATTTAGCTCAGGGGCATAAGTGTCTGCCTGGCAAGCAGAGAGGTCGTGAGTTCAATCCCAGGTACCAAAAAGAAAAAAAAAAAAAAATGAAGAGAGCTTTCTGGGCTTTGACTTATTATAAAAGTAATATCTCTCCTAGACTACACATTGAACTACATTTTCTTATTAAGAAAAAAATTTTTGAGACTGTCTTACTCTGCTGCCCATGTTGGCCTGAAATGATACTCCTGTCATGGCCTCCCACACAGTGCACATCAGTGTATATGGTCTCCACATTCTTAACACAATGATTACACATATGTTGAGCAATTTTGCCAATTTTGTAGGTAGGAAAGATATCTCATTATCTAATGTATATGTCTCTGATATCTAAGTGAGGGTGAGCCTCTATTGATAGTCTCTTCTTCCGTGAAATGCCTATTCGTACCTTGTATGATGTGGTTATTTGCCTGTTTATCTTCTTTTTTCAGTGCTGAAGATGGAACCCAAGCTGGACACTAGCTATACTATACTACACTACAAGCCCTTTTTCATTTTGTTTTAGAGTCAGAGTCTCATTAAATTGCTCAGGCTAATCTCAAATTTGCATACCTCCTCCCTTAACCTCTCAAGTAGCTGGGATTACAAACATGTGCCACCATCCTATTCTTTGACTTTTTCTTATTTATCCATTGAAGCCTCTAAATAGCCAGTAAATCATACATAAGGCAAATATCCTCCCTAATATGGACTCATTTTTTCATTTTATGTTTCCTTACACAGAATTTTTTTTTTGTACCAGAAATTGAACTTACAACCTCATGCTTGCTGGACAGGCACTATGCTGCTGAGCTATATCCCTAGCCCACACAGAAAGTTTTAAGAGGAAAGAAAGTTAGAGAGAAAAAAATAAGCTGTGGTTGGGGCTGGGGATTTAGCTCAGCGGTGTAAGCGCCTGCCTTGCAAGCGCACAGTCGGTCGTGAGTTCAATCCCTAGTACCGATTAAAAAAAAAAAAATAAGCCGTGGTATGTACATGTACCAAGTCTCCATGATAAATATAATCATTATGTACTGCAAACGTGTACTAATAAGTTTTTCAAACTTTTCTAAAAGATTAAAACAAAAATAAGGGCTAGGGTTATAGCTGAGCAGTGGAGCACTTGCTGAGCATGTGTGACATCCTGGGTTGAATCCCCAAATATTTCACAACGTATAACAAGGGGAAAATACACAACAATGCTCTCTAAAACAAGGCAGGATTGATCTTGAGTATGTAAATTAGTGTATATATAAGATAATATTCAAACCAGGCATGGTAATCCCAGTACTCTGGAGGCTGAAGCAGAAGGATCTTTTTTTTTTTTTTTTTTTTGTCTTTTTCCTTTTTATTGGTACCAGGGATCGAACACGACTTTACAAGGCAGGCGCTTACGCCACTGAGCTAAATCCCCAGCCCCAGAAAGATCTTTTTGAGAGCTAGCCCAGCCTGGACTACAAAGTAAATTCAAGGCCAGTCTGAACTGCATAGTGAAACCATATCTCAAAAAGCAAAAAAAGACAATATTCAGATAATCTAAATATTTACTAAGAAAATAAGTCAGCTACAAGTAATAACATATGCCTGTAATCCCAGCACTGTGGGAGGCTAAGGCAGAAGGATCAATAGGCGTTCAAGACATCATGTCTTACCCTGTCTCAAAAACAGGGGTTAAGGAGCTCAGTGCAAAAACCCTGAGTTTAATCTCCAGTGCTGCAAAAAAAGTGAGGCCTGACTTGTTCTAGACGCCTGTGCACCCTGCACTTCCTACCTTGCAAGCTCCATCTACCCTAGAAAATAGATGCATAACAATGGGACAGCAGGAGAGTCAGACAGATAGGGTTCTACTGCCCAGGACTTACCTGGAGCTTTGCTACTTCCTTCCTGATTAGGAAGCTGACTTGGTCCCGGTCAATCCGAGAGTAATATAGACGGCACCAAGAAGGCTTCCCATCCCTGCCAGCCCGGCCAGACTCCTGGTAGTATCCAGCCATAGACTTGGCAATATTCCAGTGAGCAACAAACCTGTAGGTGTCAAAATGACAAATGGTATAAGATATGAGGAGCTGAATGTGCTGTGAAGGACCGATTCTATTTCAGTAGAGCAGGGCTTTCTTCAGAGTGGCCAAGCACAGCGGGGCTAACACTCAAGGAAGAGAGATGCTGGAGTGAGCTGGCTCACGTACCTGTGGCTCAATGGCAAGTCTGCCTGCTATGGAGCTGCCCAATTAGAGACCACTGCAGGAGTTCAGAGAGTAACTCCAGCACATGTGGAGAACCCAAAAAACATATAGCCAAGGTCCCAGGGAAATAAACACTAGACTTAAAAAAAAAGACCATCCTATGGATGACAAGCTTGAGATTCAGAGATGTACACTTGTTTTTCTGCTTGTTTGTTTGTTTTTGAGACGAAGTCTCGATATACAATTGAGGGTGGCCTTGAACTCACAGCAGTCCTCCCTCCTCAGCCTCCCAAATGCTAGGATTACAGGCATGCACCACCAGGCCTGGCTCAGACAGCTGTATAAGGCCACACAGTAATAGGATATCAAAGGTAGGATTTGAGCCTAAAGGTGTCTGATTTTGAAGCCAGCCCCTAAAATGTCACAGCAGACCAGGGTTTACCTCTGATTCCAAAGTCTGTATTCTTAGCTACTCACGATGGCCCATGTTTGTACTTCCAGTGCTCAGGAGGCTGAGACAGGAGGAGTGCCACAAATTCAAGGCCAGCCTCAGTCACATAGTGAACACAAGGCCAGCCTGAGCTACACAGTGAGACTTTTTCTCAAAATAAATAAGAAAATAAATAAAAAGATAAATAAATAAATAAATAGAATCATGTATACTCTTTCAAATGTAGTGTACTGACAGATTCCTACCTAGGGTCACTGTGAAGCATGACAAAACCACAGCTGAAGGTAAAAGACTGCATGACAGTTACCAAAGCAGTGCTAGCACACTTTTTCTAGACTGTCAATAGGGTATCAGAAGGATAACAGTGATAAGATCTTTGCTGTCCCACCCCCTTGTTTTTTGAGACAAGGTCCTGTGAGTGCTGGGATTATAGGCATATGCTACCACACCCAGCTGCTGCCTCCTTTCTTGGGGATGGCAAAACTGTGCTGTGCAGCCCACCTGGGAGCAGCCACACAGGAACTGTCTTCTGGAGCCTCTCTCTCCTGTGGCACTAGACAAGAGGACATGGTCCTTCATGCACAGCAGCACTAGACAGGCTTGAGCCAGGCTCCAATCAAAAGATAAGGCAAGAACTAGAGCTCACCTGACATTGGCTTTATCCACTCCCATTCCAAAACTGATGGTTGCAACAATGACAGGGACTTTTTCCTCCATCCATTCATTCTGCACTTGTGTCCTATCAGAAGCCTTCAGTCCTGGAAAGGAAGGAAAGGTGGAAAAGGGAATTCACATTTCCCGTGAGTTTAGCCTCTGGGGTTTGTATGAAATTTGACGCGAGGCACTTTACATGCACCCTGAGCCCATTTCTTCCCAGCTGTATGACCTTGGGTTAGGCACTTACCCTCATGGAGCCTCAGCTAATAGCCAATGTGAGACACAGAGAGCTCAGTAAATGTTAATTTGGGAGAGTACTGGAGCTCTCACTCATGACCTTGCACTTGCCAAGCAGGTGCTTGTGTCATTGAGCTATTTCCCAGCCCCTAAAGACAATATTAAAACTCAAGTTCATTAGCCTCCAAAGCCTGTGCTCTTTCAACTTGGGCTTTTATAATACTTAGGTTTATAAAAACTCATCACTTGCTGTTGGGTGGGCACAGAGTGGGAAAAAGAATTCAGGAGTTACAACTATCATTCTAGCCCTCATTCGGCTAGACTCCTTTTTTATTTATGTGAATCATTTTAACTCTACATGAGTACCTGGAAAAAGATAATGGGCCACCTGATTATCCAGCTCCATAAAAGGCCACTAAGTGGCTTCCATGAGTGAAAAGGACCATGAGACCTTACCTGCATGATAAGCCTTGGCATTTACACCCCTGCTGCTGAGCTCTATGGCCAACTGTTCACAAGCCTCTCTAGTTCTGCAGTAGACAATGCCGCAGCCAGACAACTGAACAGGGAGATGTGGGGAGAAAACAAACGTGAGGAGAGAAAACAATCAGCCTACTACCGCATGGCTTGTTTTAAAAGAAGTTCTGTGCTTTCTCCAGTCAACTTCCTAGTCTCCTCTGAGGCAGGTCACTCAGAAGAACTCTACCACTTTATACAAAGCAGGACCAAAGCAGCTTAAACTCTAACCTCTTTAACTCCTCTGCCTTGGCTCTGAAAACCCAATACAGGTCTCCAAAGGGTTCACACACAGAAACTGCCTGCTAGCCTTTCACACACAGATATAAGATAAAAGTCCATAGTGAAGAGGATAATACCAGATAACAAAAGGTACAATTCTCTTTGTGTACAAGTTTTAGGAAGCCTGGGTAAGGAAGCTAAGAAAACAGTCTTCAAAAACCAGTATCACATTTATGTGAGACTGTACCTCACCAGTCAGCCAGTGCCCTGCCCTCATGCCTCACCATTTTATCAGTCTTCTGTCCAAGAGCTTTACGGCAGAAGTCCCTCAGGTTCCCATAAGGATCAGAAATCAGTTCTTTGAACTGCACATCATAGAAAAGGTTGGCCCGGAAGCAGGGAGTCTTGAAAGTGGCAACTGGTTGCTTCAGATGCAGTGCGGCAAACACATCCTCCTGGACCTGTGGAGTGGCTGTGGCAGTCAAAGCCAAACACGGGGCATGCACCAGGCGGGAGCGCAGGGCACCTAGACGCAAGTAGTCAGGGCGGAAGTCATGCCCCCACTGGGAAACACAGTGAGCTTCATCCACCACCAAGTAAGAAAGCAGGTGGCGGGACACAAGCGAGCTCAGGATGGGCTGAAAGGAGGTGGAAGCAGCCATCTCTGGGGTGATGTACAAAAGCTTGGTCTGTGGCTTTTCTCGCTCTAGGTCTGACAGCAGCTCCTTCTTTTCCTGCACTGATGTCTTCGAGCTCAAAGAACTCACTTGTACCTTCAGGGCCAGCAAATGGTCCACCTGATCCTGAGGACAGAAGAGGGTGGGCCCAGGGAGAGGTATAATTAGCTCTCAAGAGCCAGTGGTAAATGTCATTGCCACTCCATGAGAGATTGCCCAGTCATGAGACATCCTCTTCCCACCCTCCCACATGTCTTCTCTGTATGGAAGGTAAAGTAGTTAATTAAGAGGACAGACCTGAGCCAGACCTGGATCTACCTCTGCTCACTAACTGCCATGGTATGCTGGCTGTTTCTTAACCCAAGACTCAGTTTTCTCACAACCTATTACAAAAATAGTAACTACAAGATTTGTGATAAGAGTTAAGTGAAACTTTACATCTCAAAAGTGGTATATAAAGCACTTTAGCGCAAAACTTAAAGATCTAATTAGCATTCACTATTTCTGTTGTTCTCCATCGGTCTACATTTTTTTTCTGAGGTCTTAATCACGTGGCCATATCTCCTTTTTAGGAACCAGGCTATGTGATAGATTATGGGGGACCAACTATGTGACAACCCCCCTACACACAGTCCTGAGGTCAGTGCTTCAAGTATCCAAAGGTCTTGTGCCCCCATGTGGAATGCTAGTAACCTGTTACTTGTGAGGCAAGATAGCATCAGTGGAGGACAGTTTTCAAAATACAGTCATTTGAGTTTAGAGAAAATCTGATTCCAGTGTTATCCCCCTCTCTGTGCTTCTTGCTAGCCAATAAAAGCCAGTCAACCGCAGAGTTAGTTCTGTCAGCCCACTAGAGGCAAAGTTCTCCTGGTCCCTTTTGTATGTTGAAATTTGTCTGTATCTGAGAGTCTGATCAGCCCTCAGTACTTCCTCAATTCTAATTCTATAAGCCCATCTGCAGGCACTAAATATAGGCAGAGCAGATGTTAATAAGATCTCAATTTCTCATGTCTGTTTCTCTGTACCAGCTCTCTAAAATGAAACAAGTCACCAGGAATTCTGCATAACAATTTAGCTATCAATTCACTTGCATCTTCTAACACCATGAGTTCACACATGTGTACACATGAGAGCAAGTGTGTATGTACAGATATTGTTCCTACTCTTTAGGAAAAAAAACAACAGAGAAGGGCAAAGGAAAGTCAAGTGATGAAAGTAGAGAAGACTCATTTATGAACCACAAACTGACAAGCATTAGTGGAGAAACCTACTTTGGGCAATTCAGACATCTACCACAGAGGGTCACAAAGACAAATCAGAGAAAAAAGAAAGGCAAAGACCAAATAAAGATTTTTTTAAAACCTTCCCATCATCTTTTCTGGGCTATTATCTTCATTCCCCTAACCCTCACCTGAATCAAAGCAAGGAGAGGAGAGATTACAATGGTGATGCCTTTAGCCAACAATGCAGGCAGCTGATAGCAAAGGGATTTTCCAGCCCCAGTGGGCATACACACAAAGACATCCTTGTCACCTGCAAAAAATACAAGAAGATAACATCTCATTGCTTCTTGCCTTTTCATTAAAGTTGTTGAAAATTAAAGTGTAAGAAAAGTGCCTGGCAGGGTCTGGCACTTGAGAAGGTCTCAGTATCATGTTAATTTCCTTCTGCTCATTTGCATGAAAAGGAAAGGAATTCTGGGAGTTTCAGAAATGTGTGCAAACTACTTCTGATACTGGCAGTACAAACATGAGTAACAAGTCTGAGTCTGTGGGATGTGGGTGATTGAATGAAACAGCCATGAAAGCAGTATACTGGTAGAGAGTGGGCACATCTGTCTAGACATGCAAAGACATCACTTAGAGGTCTTTTGTTTTTATAAATGTATCACTAATATTATATTGCTGCTCCCTTCTGAACAACAATCTTCATTGGTCACTACATCTCCAGTTTAAAATATTGTTGCTGGAGCTGAGGATTTAGCTCAGCAGCATAAGCACCTGCCTTGCAAGTGTGCAGTCATGAGTTCGACCCCCGGTACCAAAAAAGAGAATTTAAAATATTGTTGCTTCTTTCCCTATCTGGGATCCAGACCACTCAATCTTCATTAACGGGATTACCTAGGTCAATGGGTAGATTAGATTTTTTTAACTGCCACCCCCACAGAAACAAACAAAAATGGGAATCTAGATATCATTTTACAAAGCCAACTGGTAGGTCTTGCTGTGAAAAGTAAGAGCCAGAATAACTGAGTGATTCCGCCATTAAAATACCAAGTTTAACCCAGGCGGGGTGGTGCATGCCTTAAATCCCAGCACTCCAGAGGCTGAGGCAAGAGGATCCTTGCAAGTTCGAAACCAGCCTGAGCTACAAAGTGAGTTCAAGGCCAGCATGAACTGCAGAGTGAGACCCTCATCTCAAAAAGAAAAAAACAGAAACAAAACGAAAAAACCCCAGCAAGTTTAGCCGGGCCTGACAGCACACATCTGTAATCACAGCACTCAGGGAGTATGAGAGAAGATCTTAAGTTCCAGCTCACTTTGGGCAACTTGGCAACTTAGACCCAGTCTCAAAATAAAAAATAAAAGAAGGGCGGGGGGCGGGGTTTTAGCTCAGTGAGAAAACCCTAGGTTCAATCTTCGGTACCGAGAATTAAAAATGCAAGCTTTGGTTGACAAATCTAAAAGATTTCCAAAACCAGTTATGGACCGAGGGTGAGAAGGTGGGAAGAAGGGTGTTCTGCCGCAGTGCAAGGGTACAGCCAACAAAAACTTAAAGGCAGTGGGTCTGATAATGTTACCTTTTACTACAGCCATGGTCGCCCTCTCCTGTAAAGGCGTCTTAAAAGAGTCAAACCCAAAGACCTTCTTCAACGTGCTCCGGACTCGCCGCTCGGGGTCAGAGGGAGTGGAAGGGTGGGTGCTCATCTTAGCGAAATGCAGAGGCCAAACGTTAAAGGTAGTGAAAGACTGGCTCGAGAACCCTCTGTTTTGCTATTTGAATACAGCTTAATTTTTCTTCTTTAAGTACAAACCTGCCACATTGCACTTACGCAATGTATTTGTTTCAAGTAGTAAAGCTGCAGATTAATGGCCTCTTGCAATATATTACCAAGCGATTAGTAGCTTCACTTTCACGTTGAATGAAAATAAATACACTGCGCTATCCAAGGTCATAGGCTGGCACAGTTGGAAACCAGATCACGAGAAGAAACACCCAATGTCTTCGGAATGGTTTGGAGAACATGGCCTGATTTTTCTAAGGTCCAACATCTATACGCGGTCACGCTGGCCATTCATCTTCCCCGCCGACCCCCTGGGATCTCAATCCCTTTACTCTCCTTCCTCTTGAGCCCCGGATAGTTTTCTCCCTTCGTCACCGAAGACTCCCTCTCTTTGCCCCCAAAATTTATCAGAGCCGCGGGCCGCCCAAGAAAGGGCTCAGGCCCAGGCGCTGCTGTGCTCTGGTTCTGCCACTACTGCAGGACCCTTACACAACACTCCGACTGAGAAACCAAACCCCTGAGAATTCCAGTCAAAGAAAAACCCTAGACAACCTTCTATTGGTCGAGCAATGATGACGGTATGCTAGCGCGGCAGGAGAGGCGGGCCAAGCTCAGAAACGGCCGTTTTGATTGGCTTTCACTTTGGCGTTTGACCTCCTGAGATCCGGAAGAAGTTGCCTTTCCATGAAGAGGTCATTTTTTTGAGTCATAGGTGTGGGCCACGCCGGGTCTGTGGGTTATAAAATGGCGGGGAGGAGGAATGTGCTGTCGTCTCTGGCAGTTTACGCGGAAGATTCAGAACCTGAATCTGATGGCGAGGCTGGAGTCGAAGCTGTCGGCAGCGCAGCTGGTGAGGCTCCAGTGGAAAGCTGAAAAAAGGACTCGAGTATCTGCCCAGAATAATGTTCCCTTATCGTAGTGCCGGGAAAGTGATGTTCATTGTGTCCCAAGTATAGAGCCCCAGAGCCCCGAAGCGCAATCGAGGTCGTCTTGGCTTATATATAGTGTTAGACGATTTGTAATGAGAATGAGCCTTCTCCCTGTGTTTCTACTCTTCTACTGAAACTTCGCCGCCGGACATTGGCCGGGTGGAGGGATGGACTAGAGGATAGGTATCCACTACTACAACGTTGCTACCTAGGCCCTTCGGCGAGTTGTTTGATAGGGAAGAGAGATGAGTAGAACATATGTGATGGATGATAAAGTTTGTCTTATTAAATTGATAACTTTTAATTTGGAATGCGCCCTAAACACATCTTAGAGCTTCTGGTTTGTTCTTCAAAGTGAGTAATTTTGTATATGTGGGATAGACTGTGGACCTTTGTGAGTTATTTAAAGCTTTTAGGTCATTTTGTTACTTTGTGAATCTTAAAAGCCCATGGGTAGCCAGGTGTGGTGGCGCACACCTGTAATCCCAGCACTCGAGAGACTGTGGCAGGAAGTTCGCTACAACTTCGAGCCCAGCTTGGACTACATAGGAATTCAACGGCGGCCTAAACTACATAGTGAAACAATGCCTCAAAAACATACAAACCAAAAAGAACCATGGAAATCTTGTTGCTAAGACTGACAATGTTTGAATGAGAAGAGATTTGGGGGGGGGGGATAATAGAACACATTATGTAATGTGTCTGGGCTTCAGGTTTTCTCATCCGAAAAGTGCAGGGGTTCAGAATAAAAATGAGTAGTCTTTGTCTCCTAGGAGAGGTAAGTTCCTAGGTGCCCAAGTGCGCATGTGTGTGAGAGAGAGTTCAAGCAACATGCTTTGATCATTCAAAGATCATTCAGCTGGAGTAATAAGGAGACTGACAACTTCAGGGTTTTTTTGTTGTTGTTTTATCTTGTTCTCATCAGTTCAGTGCAGGGAATTGAATCCAGGACCTCATGCATATGAGACAAGTGCTTTACCTCAGAGTTACACTCCTAGCACTAGAAAAATTTAATGTTTGATTTTCTTTTCTGCCCCTACCCATCCAATGCTGGGGATTGAACCCAGAGCCTTCACACTGAGCTATATTCCCAGCCCTTTTTATTGTTTATTTTTTACATTTGAGATAGTCTCACTACGTTGCCCAATCTGGGCTTGAACTTCTAATCCTCCTGCCTCAGCCTCCCAGAAGCTGCAGTTACAGGTGTACACCAACACATCTATCTTCTTCTCTTTTCTTTTAATAGTTTTATCCAGGGCCAGGGATATAGCTCAGCAGAGATATAGCTCAGCAGCACAAGTGCCTGCCTGGCAAACATGAAGTCATGAGTTTGATCCTTGGTATCAAAAAACAAACAAATAATAAATATGGCTGGTTCAGATAGTTCTATCCACTAACATGTGGCCTTCCAAAAGGCAGAATCTAGGCATATGGTCACTTATGTGAGGTTTAAGTTCGGCTTTTATCTTCAGAAATACTCTGACTGCTCAGATCACTGGAAAGTTTTCTTACGTCTTTGTTTCATTTCTTGTTTTCTGTTTCAGAAGAGAAAAGTGGATTGGTGTCTGATGCCTATGGAGAGGATGACTTTTCTCGTATAGGAGGTGATGAAGATGGTTATGAGGAAGAGGAAGATGAGAACAGCAAACAGTCGGTAGGTGAATCTCCCAAATTTAGAACTGCTCAAAACACCATTTCATTTACCAGAAGCTTTTAGAGCTGGCTGTGGTGGCACACACCTGTAATCCCAGCTTTTGGGAGGCTGAAGCAGGAGGATTGCTGTGAGTTCAAGGCCAACCTGAGCTACAAAGCGAGTTTTAGGCCAATTTGAACTGTGTAGAAAAACTGTGTCTCAAAAAGGGAAAAAAAAAAAAAAAAAAAACTGGGCCAACAATATTCTATTTCATAACTAATTTTACCCCTTGTCCTCATTTGTTTGGCTTGAATATCAATAGTTCTGCTATATTTGAAAATTGCATTTGTTTTTCACCTGAATCATTTTGTATGAATTTTCAAGTTGAAATTTGCAAGGCAAGATGGTAGGCTATTTTATTTATCCAGATGTCAGTGGGTGTTTTATGTTGCTTTTCCTGATTTAAATAGTTTATTTCATTTGTAAATATGTTCATCCTTATTGGTGTTTTCATGTAAATCTGCAATCAACTCTATTATTTTCAACCTTTCTTGGGGGTCATTCAGATACTTAGGTTTATTAAAATGATAAAGAAGGAAAATTATTTTCTTTCATCCACTTTGGTCATTCTTAACTTCATTCTTATCATTGTTTTTGACACTTTTATCAGAGTTGCCTGGTTCTTGATCACAAATCTTCCCCAAAGTTAAGTAGGTGTTGACGGTAACAAATAAAGTAGAATTTATGTTCTTATTAACAAGATTTAGGCTATATAATCATCTAAGCAGCAGAAGTTAGAAGTTTGAAGAAAAATCAGGCTGGCCTCAAACTCATGGTGATCTTCCTGCCTCAGCTTTCTGAGTGCTGGAATTACAGGTGTGCACCACCATGGCCAGGTGCAACAGTTTTAATTGAAACACTCACAGGGAATTTTATGATGTTTGAAAATTTTATTACATGTTAATATGTAAAAATTAACATTAAAATGCTTTTCAGATTAGGGCTATGGATGTAGCTCAGTGATAGAGCTCTTTGCTAGCATAAGACCCCGGATCCAATCCCCAGCACCAAAGAGAGGGAGGGATGTTCCAAATTAAACAGAAATATTTTGGGGTTTTTGGTGCTGGTGGTTTAGACCCAGGGCCTTCTGTATGTTAAACAGGCGCTGAACCACTGGATTACATATTCTGCCCTTTTTTAAATTTTGAGGCAGGGTCTCAATTAGCCACCTGCCTAGCTGGCAGTACAGGCATTCCATACCACGCTTAGAAATGTATTTTTTGTTCTTTCATGAGATACTTTCATCCCTTCAGCCCTACCCTTTAATGCTATTAATTCAGAGTTGACTGAAATTCTGTAGAAAAGTCTTTTCGTCACTTTTTTCAAGTACATACATACCGCTTTAGTATCCATAATTTAATACATTTGCATAGTGTGCATTTTTGAAATGTTGTTCCTATATTTGACTTTCTAGAATTTTCTTTATATTTAAACTTTTTTTTCTGTCTTTTTGCAACAGGGTTTCTCTGTTCAGTTTAGGCTGGCCTTAAACTCACTTTGTAGCCCAGGCTGACCTCGAACTCACAGTGATCCTCCTGCCTCAGCCTCCTGAGTGTTCAGATTACAGGCAAGCACCACTATGCCTGGCTTGTTTTGTTTTTGAGACAGTATCTCACTATGTTTTTAGGCTGTCCATGAACTCAATGGAGCCCAGGCTGGCCTTGAACTTGATACATTCCTTCTTCCTCAGCCTCTTCAGTGCTAGGATTACAGGTGTATGCCACTGTACCCAACTTGTATTTCATATTTTAGTAAAATCCTCTCGTCGTATCCCATACAGACATTCTGAAATGTGATTATATGCAGCTGAGCTCTATCTCTATTTGGCTGATTGCATTTTAAGAAGATAATCGAGACTGCATCTAAAGCCTTTGTTTCAATAGCACTTTAGAGGGCAGTTAAGTCTCAAAATTATACTGTTTGTATCTCTTTGATGGTGTTTATATTAACATCTGGAGTACTGTCATGTTTGGGTTGAAGTGTAACTTTGTTGAAAGTAATAGTTTCAAATAAATCAGTTTTTCTTGGGCATTTAGTTAAAGGCTTCTGTGCATTGGGAGTGCTGCAGGGGGTAGAGGTAAGGTGGGTTTAGCTAGCTAAGAGGGGAGATGGTACAGCATCTAATTGAGCTTTATTGCAGTGACATTAATGTTTAGTGGAGTGGTGGACTCACTTCAGAGAATGCCTTCGCTGCATGGTACTTTGAATCAGGCAGACCTCATTTGGCTAAGGAACAGGCTGGGTGAATCAACAATATATGAACACTCAGGTGGAGGCAGAACCACCCCAGTTGGGATTCACCGTTAGCTTCGCCTTTCCTGGGTCACTTGCGGTGGTCATTTGATGACCACTTTGTGTTCATATCAGTGCCAGTGCCACTGAGTTGAAGAGCTAAAGTGTAGCTGTGTGTGACTTATTGCACTGATGTTTTGAACAGTGTCTTAAGTGGTAGGTCCAAGTCTGTTGTATTTGTGCGTTCGAAACTCAGTGAAGGAGAGTTCTAAATAATTGATACTTCAGTACAATGTGCTATACTGTTTTATGCTGTGGTCTGGTCTTTTTTCTGAAGCAGATTGGATCTTCTCTCTACTTTTTATGTGATTTTTTTCACCTCAAGTGTTTTTTTTTTTTTTTTTTTTTTTTGTCTTTTTCGTTTTTATCGGTACCAGGGATCGAACTCGCGACTGCCTGCTTACAATGCAGGCGCTTATGCCACTGAGCTAAATCCCCGGTCCCTAACCTCAAGTGTTTTTATTGGTATGGACTGTGGTACTATTGGAATGGCCATTGACTGAGTAGCTTTTTTTTGTTTTGCTCAGAACATCTCCTTTACCCCTTCTCTTTCTCTAATTCTGGGTCCTGTGATATAGGGAGGGGTTGCTGGTGGGATGCCCTGGCTGGGTAAATGGCTGTTTGCTCCAAACTCTAGATATGCATGTGAGACTCCGCAGGCCCACTCTTTAAGCTTAATCCTCTAAATTCTTTGTCTTGTAGGAAGATGACGATTCAGAGACTGAAAAACCTGAGACTGATGACCCAAAGGTATTTGGTGTTGGCTGTGGTGGGGTGGCTGGATGTGAGTAAGGTGTTTTAACATTCTGGCTCAGTCCCATGTCTGGTCAAGATCTGTCCCACTAACATACTATGTGACCACGTGAACATTTTCCAGGGTAAAACTAAAAAAAGCTAAACCAGTCACTCTGGGACTGAAGAACAGGGTCCAAGTTTTGTAATGAAAAACTGCTTTGAAACTACAGCCCTCAAGGTGAGCTGGTGGATTTAGGAAAATGATGTCTGATTGTAATCTTAAAACAGTAGTCTCAATATCTGTGGTGACTGGTTCCAGGACACCATAGTCCCATCTTCTGTAAACACCAATATTTGCAGCTGCTCACTTCCCTTACACAGAATGGCACAGTATTGGCATATAACCTATACACATCCTCCTATATACTTTTCATTTCTTTTTTGGTGCTACCAGGGACAGAAACAAGGGCTTTCACACTGAGCTCCATCTCTAGTCCTTTTTTATTTTCTAATTAGAGAGAGAGTCTTGCTAAATTACCCAGGGTTGGCTTGAACCTGCAATCCTCATGTCTCATCCCCTACCCCCCATTCTGGGATCCAGACATATGCCTAACTCCTTCCATATACTTTAAATCATTTCCAGGTTATTTATAATATCTAATAATACCTACTATGGTGAAAATGCTTTGTAAGTAATTGTTATACTGTATTGTGTAGATTCTTTTTTTTTTTTTTTTTTTAAGGAAGGTTGTTACTGGGCATGGAACCCATGAGCTACCTCCACAGCACTTTTTTTTTTTTTTTTTTAATTGAGACAGGGTCTTAACTTGCATTTCTTCTGCCGTAGTCTTTCAGAGTACTGGTAGTATAGGTCTTAGCCACCATGCTTGGCTGCAATTTTTTTTTTTTTTTTTAACATTTTCAGTCAGCAGTTAGTTAACCATAAATGCAGAACCTATGTATATGACGGGCCAGTGGCATGTCTGAAAATACAGCTGGGTGTGGTGGCACACCCCTGTAATCCCAGCATTTGGGAGGCTGTTTAAGACCAGCCTGGAGTACAAAGTGAGCCTAAGGGCAGCCTGAACTGTATGGCAAGACCCTATCTCAGACAAAAAAAGAGAGAGAAAGAAGAAAGAAAATACAGCGTAGGCTTTTCCACGTTTGGACTGTTTCTGTGGTTTGATACAACTATGTTGCAGACATTCAGATGATTCAAATAAAAATGCATTTTACCAAGACAGTAAGTTTTGGAGCTTGGCACAGTGGCACATGCCTGAAATCCCAGAACTTTGGAGTCCGAGACAAGAGGGTCAAAAGTTTGAGTCCCACTTGAGTAACTTAGCAGGACCCTGTCTCAGAGTAAAAGGAATAGTGGTATGATAGAGCATCCCTGGGGTCAGCCACCACTACCAGAGAGAAAAACAGAATGATTTGACACTAGCATACAAGAAAAAGAAAATGTGAACTCTAGAAATTAAATTCAAGCTACTTTCTGTGCAGACTAAAAATTCCAGGCCTACAAACTTCTAAGACTTTCCTGGTAGGAGAGTACAGGCAGACCTGTGGCCTACTTCAAAGATAGTCCTACTCTCCTCAGGCTATCAAGTGAAACCCATAGTGTAGCAGTCGTGGTTGTAGTATTCTTTTGTCCTGGGATTTGGGACATGTGGGACTTAGAGCCCGTGTGTAAAACAAGTCAAGTGGTAGAGCTCGAGTTGTGGAGAGAGCAGGATTGTGGGACCTGGAGCCTTCATGTGTACAGTTGCTGCTTTTGCTTAAGGCTACCTGGAGGAGTTGCTTAGTGTATGAGGTGCATGTCTTGATTGTCATCCCTTCTAGAGTGCTGTGGTGCCAACAGTGAATTTTTTTTTTTTTTTAAAGCCAGTGAAATTTAGCAGTGGGGGGGTGGTATACCAACTTTAGTGACACTAATGTTAATAAGTTCTGATAACCCACTGCCATCGGACCAGCCCCAACAGTGAATTCTTGAGGAAAGACATGCATTTATGGGGGGGGGGGAACCATGAAAAACCTCTGGCTTAAATGTCCGTTTGTCTGGGAGCAGCTAATAAAGAATAGGGGGAAAACTGAAAGAGACAGGCTTCAGAAGATTGTGAATATGTCTTCTGATCAGCCATCTCTTTCTAGCAAAGGTAAAAAGACTTGTTATTCACACTCCCCCTTAACCCATGTGCTTTTTTGTTCCTCATTCAGTCATTTGAATTTCAAGTCTCAATATGCAAGGAAGTTTTCATGTAATAATTGCTGTTCCTGTCAAGCAGTCCTCAAAAGTCATAACAAAATCCAGCCCTCCAAGTAACTATTTAATTCTTTTAGAGGATAAACACAGAAGGTTTAAACAGGCTGCCAGTTTAGATATATTCAAGTCCCTTGGGATGCCAGAGATCACCATGAAGAGTCCCCATGGTCTTCCCCAGGACTAGAAGCAATCCGCAGCATGAGTCTCCTGTGATTCTGTAGCCCTGGCTCCCTCTTGCCTGAGTTTACGTCCCAGGGTTTCTGGTAGAAGCCTGTACCTCACATGCAGAACTTTTCTGGCACATTTAAGTTTTAATTGATTAATTTGAAGATTAAATCTTTTGTTGTTGTTTTAAGACAGAGTCTCACCTTGTGTTTCAGACTGGACTTGAACTCACTGTGTAGCCCAGGCTGGCCTTGAATTTGCAGTGATCTTCCTGCCTCGGCTTCTGTAGTACTGGGATTACAGGTGTGTGCCACCAGGCCCAGCTAAAAAATTACTAACCTTTAATTTGACAATTTCTCAAGCATATAAAGTTTCTAAAGATATTACATGTTATTAGAGTAGATCTTTGTTACAGGTATGGTTCGTTTAGCAAGAAAGTTGCTGTCATAGCTTTTTTCCACTAGGTGGCATTTTCCCTTCTACTTTGCTTTTCCTTCCTCTGACACCTGCTCCCCCAGCACTGGGGATTAGGCCTAGGTAGGCCTTGCACATGCTGGGTTACCATTCTATTACTGAACTATATCCTTGCCTTTTTATTTTTTATTTTTTTTAACCAGGAGTCAAACTCAAAACCTTGCACTTGCCAGACAGGCGCTTGTGCCGCTAGCTGTATCCCTGGCCCCATTCCTTTTTTATTTTATTTTGAGACAGGGTCTCAGTAAATTGCCTAGGCTGGCTTTGAACTCATAATCCTCCCACCTGAGGCTCACAAGTGGCCGGAATTACAGGCAGGTACTACTGTTCATTTACACAATTATAAATTGAGAATCCCAAAGAATGTTTGTTAATTTTGACTTTTATCTATTGATATTTACTATTCTTAGAAGTTAAAACTGAGAAAAATTTAAATTATTTTGTTTGTTTATTGTTTTGCTTTATGAGACAGGGTCTCACTGTGTAGTTCAGGCCTTGATCTCGCTGCATAGCCCAGGCTGACCTCAAACTTACAGCCATCCTCCTGCCTTAGCCTCCCAAGTGCTGGGGTTACAGGTGTGTTCTACCATGCCTGGAAAAATTATATTTACTTGTCTGAAAATAAAAAAAAATCACCCCATCACATGTAAAGATAAATGACATTTTTCTGAAAAAGTTTTTTCCAAAACAAAAAAGGATGTTAGTACTGAGCATTGATTTACCCTTTACAAGTCTCTTTAATGTAGTCTTTTTTTTTTTTTTTTTTTTTATCTTTTTATCGGTAACGGGGATCAAACTCACGACTGCCTCCTTGCAAGGCAGGTGCTTATGCCACTGAGCTAAATCCCCAGCCCCGAGTCTCTTTAATGTGCCACTTAATCAAAATCAGCTGGATTCACATAATGGCTCTGAATTCAGTCTGTTACGACACATTTTTTTGTTAAATATTTTGTTTTTGTTTTGTTTTTGGCAGTACTGGGAATTGAACCTGTGTGAGATTCTTTGAGACGAGGCCTCAGTAAGTTGCCAAGACTGGCCTCAATTGTGTTCCTTCTGCTTCAGCTTCCAAGGTAGTTAGGATTGTAGACATGTACCACTATATCCAGCTTGGTCCAATTATTTGAAGAAAATCTAAATTTACACAGATAGGTAGTTGAAGGGAGGAAATTCACAGTAGTTATTCTTTTGTGATACTTCATCAAAACTCAACAAGTGGTAGTTTTCTAAAGGTTAGTTGCAGTGTGGAATGTGAAACCCTAATCTGAACTTTTTGTCCTAAAGCCATGGGTTTGCATTACACTTCCAACAAGTCTTTTACCCACCAGTGGTTTTATGTTATCAGGCAATATTGGTTTCCTTAGTAAAGCAGATTTCCTGAACATTGACACATGTAGTCCCGTGGTCTTCAAAACATTGTATTTGTTAGTGACATTACTGTTCTCATTAGACAACTATTAAGTGTTAAAAACCAGTCAGGGCTATAGTAGGGAGTACTATCAGAGTTTTCCTGGGAGTGGTACACTTCATTTTTGAGAAAATGTGCATCTACCAAATACACAGGTTCAAATTACAAGGCTGTTTTTCAGTCATTCTTATAAAAAGTAGGTAGTGTTCCTTGCCAGTCGTGATGGAGATGTCCAAATCCCAGAACTCTGGAAGTGTGGGCAATTTAATGACCTACTGAGACCTTGTCTCAAAATAAAAAAAGGACTGGGAATATAGCTCAGTGGGAAGGCCCTGGCTCAATCACAAGTCGTGTGTTTGTGCATGCACACACAGAAGGTGTTCCAAGATGCTAGGAACATAGCTTAGTGCAAAAGCATTGGGTTCAGTTGCCAGTTACGGGGGCTGGGAAGGTGTTCCTTGGAGAGCAACTACTTCAGTTTGCAACGGAAACAATCATAGTGGTCCTTTTCCTTAAGGCTGCCATTCAGTCTTTGGTGTGCAGCAGAAGTGTTTATGTACATCTTTCATATCATCACACCTAATATAAAGGAGGTTTGTTCTCAAGAATCAAGATTTAATAAAACTAGTCATTTTAATTGCTTTACCAAAGATATTCTTAAGTTAAATGGGCTGCTTTGTTTATAACCATATCAGTGAGGAAAAGGCA